TTCATCCTCTTTCATCAGATTCAAACATTTCCACCTCTTGTGAAACAAAGATGTCTTTTTTACTAAATAATTCACTTAATATATTTACCGCCTCGGTAAAAGTCAACTCGCTAGTTTTTTTTTTTCGTAAAATGTAGTTTACCAATTTGTTATGCTCAGCAGTTCCTAACTTGCTTAAAAGAAGTCTAACCTTCTTTCCTTCAGACCACGTGTGGCAGTCCTCGTTATACACATCCGTATATTTTTTAAAATACTCTTCAAAAATTATCTCTTCGTCTGGACTGTACGTGAATATTTCAATCGAATTCCATATTGTATTCTATGGGAAAGAATCATTTTGTAGATTTTTCTCTTTCCTCTTCTCAGTTATTTCCAGAATTTTGTTTTGAAACTCCTTATGCATCAGTTCCATGTCTCGTTGAAACTGTATCTGTCTATTAAAGGTTTCCTCCTGAAGTTGTATCTGGAATGTTTTCTGCTGCTCCAATATTGTCTTTTGTTGTTCTGTCTGGAACTTAAAAAATTCCTGGAATATATTTTTGCATTCCTCCATCTTCGCAAAAAGTTTACACAATGCTTAAATATTGTAGAGGGGGCCCAAAACGAACTTGCAATTTGTGACTGTCTTATCGAGAAAAAAAACTTTTTCTCAGTTGAGAATACGACTGATTTTTTTTGTCACTAAGTTGATGTCTTGTCTTTTGAAAAAACTTTGCCAAGTTTTTTTTTTTTTTTTTTTTTTGTGAATCTGAGATGTTGTCACCAAAAATTTGACGAGCAAATTTTTTTTTTTCTTTTGCCTCCATATGAAAAACGAATTTCGTCACTAAATAATGTGAGCAAATTTTTTTCACTATATGAAACGCAATCCGTCGTACACCACATTCGTTATGGCAGGTTACTTTTTTTTTTCTCTTCTGTATGAGTTACGAATCCACGTTGACAAGTGTTTTTTTTTTTTTTTTTCGTATGAATCCAAAATACGTTCGTCGCCAAGTGTGATAACACTATGGAAATATGGCGAAACAATTTTTTTTTTTTTTTCCGTATGAATTTCGAATTCTGGTCGCCAATATGTTATAGAGTGAACAAAAACTTTTTCTTCCATATGAATTACGAATTCCTCATCGTCAATGTGTTGTTAGGCGTATGAAAAGTTTTTTTTTTCTCCATCTGAGTTTCAAATTCTTGGTCGCCAATGTGTTGTAAAGTGAATGAAAAATTTTTCTTTTCTCGTGTGAGAAACGAATCCCTCGTCGCCAATGTTGTAGAGTAGTTTTCACAGTGGAGGTTTGTATTTCAATAAGTCGTCCTAAAGTAGGTTCGATGTACAAAACGTTAGGAACTTGAAATAAGAGTTAATGATGCAGCAATCTAGTTGTGATGGTTGGTACTTCAATGTCCGATATCGACTGACTCGCTCAACACCACTGAGCCCAACTGGCGACCGCTACTACTACTTATGTGTGGGAGAGTCTATTAATAATAGAATAGGCATGTCAGGTATAACAGTTAGACACCTAAATCTGCAGTGCTTAGTGTATTGTTTATGTAATATTAACAGTGCTATCTTGAAAAGGATATAGTTCTTCACCATGCATGGACAATCTTCACTATTGAGAGGCTATTGCAATATTGCTATCTCAAAAAGGTACTACCTCTCACATCAGATAAGTTTGATGCTGGGGTTAATGTTATAATTAATTTGGTAAAATACTTTATTTTTTTTCTATTGATTTCAATTTTTTTTTTTTTTTTTGTCTTTAACCCATTAATGCTCAGCATAAAATTTGGTATCTATATCTATAATTCTCAAAATGTGTGATTGAATGTTGTTTGTGTTTCCAGTTTTGATCTGATTTTGATGAAATTTTTTGTTTGATAGATAATTCTTCAGTGCCAGTTTTGAGTCCAAATTAACTGGAAAAAAATTACAACCTTAAAGGGGAAAAATTGAAAAAACTGTGTCCATTTACCAAGTTTTGTTTGTTCATGTTCTCTGTTTCATTCACCTAATACATTTCCTAATATTACTTTTTCACACATAACCTTCCAATCTTAGCTCGTGCTCTGTGGGCATGATTCACACCACAACGCGTGTATGTGTGGCCCTGCAACATGCGCTGTCATGCACTGATGCATGTGCATATGCATAAACTGTGGAACATGACCCCTGTTAATGTTGCCTGTTGGCTGAACAAAGCCCCTTTACACGTCCAATGAAATGTCGCCTTGTCATACTGATTGTCTACTCGGTCCTAAGCTCTTTGCAACTGCTTAATTCTGCAATTCTGCTTCTACTTCTGTCCATCCAGCCCTGCTTACACATTCCCTTTCTCTTGGTCAAGCATTCAATCTCTCTCGAGTGAGGTTACCTTTTCCGTTGCATAAAGCCTACTATTACAGTAGGTGTTGCTTTCATTGCCGTTTATAGTCGTTCCCAGTTTAAATTTTTTTTATTGTCCTGCCAGTTTTTGCATTGCATTCACTGCAGTAATAAGCTTTTTTTTTTTTTTTTTTTTTTTTTTTTTTTTTTTTTTTTTTTTTTCTTATTACTCAATATTTATTTTTCCAACCTTTCCTAAAGTTATTCGAGCTTAGTGATTCCTGTAGCTGAAGGCACTACTTGGTCGAGGAAAAAAAACAGATGCCCCGTGATGCAACCAAAGAATATGTCATGTGCACTGTTGAAGATGGAGGCATAAAGAAATTGTACAAGATACACAATATGGGTGTTGAGAGGACGCTGTATTTGGCCAGGAAGGTAGACCCAACTATCTCTAGGAGAGTTGTGTGTAGAGTAGTGCAAACATGCCAAATATGCATGAAGCCAGTGAAGTTCATGTCTCTAACAACTGGACAAGACTAGCGATTGACATCACGCATTACCAAAATGTGTCATATCTATCGATGGTCAATTGTGGGCTCTGCTGCATAGCCATATGGTGGGAGTTGAGGGAGAAACTGGGACAGCGGTTGCATCTATACTAAATTATGTTCAAGTCAGCACCCGTCAAGGCAGTATTGGATAGGTGGAATGTGCAAGTATGTTACAGGGCTCCATACATAGTCGAAATGGCATTGTAGAGAGGCACCACGGGACTGTGAAAGCAATAGCTGAGAGGGGTCAAATATCACCAATTGAGGCAGTCTACTGGTATAACATGTCCCCTCAGGTAGGCCAGAAGGTTTCTGTACTGCAGTGTGTAATATTTCAGTACAAGTGGAGACATCCATTGGTCATCCCTGAAAATGAAGTGGCGGCAAGGCAACCAGGTTCAATTCAAGTTGGAGAGGAGGTATAGATAAAGCTGCCTGTTGCTCACTGCACCACACAATGGTGACAGGATTAGTCACAGAATAATGTTTCTTTAGATGGAACCCTTCAGCACATCCTGGATGTACGTGTGAATGATAGTACAGCAAGGCAAGACGATAATGATACAGATGGTCCAGTATGTAGGTCACGAAGAGACGCGATCACCTTACTGGGCATGTGACTATGTGGTATGAAGATGATCTTGTTTAGATCAAGGTGGGGTGTGTTAAAGAGATGAGAGAAAAACAATGTGATAACTTACCAACAACAGAAGTGGAAAAGCTAGGAAAGTGAAAATACATTATTGGTGAGTGGTGGTTGTATAAAAGCTAGAAAGAATAAGCAGGGAGAATTTTTGCTTTTCTTTTGCAAATGGTGTCAGCAAGTTAAAGGCAGTGAAGAGGAAAGGAAGATTTTTTCTTTTCTCTCTATCATTTCTGCATATCAGCAAGACAAGTGTTACTGATTGTATTAAATGTAAGAGGAGGAGATAAAAAGTGCAGTTTATAAGAATATGTAGGAAATATTATGGTTAACCCTACGCTTGAAGAGGTTAAGAATGTAATGATTGAAGAAGCATCTTCCCAGTTTTTGGGAAGAAGCTGTTTAACTGGAACTACTTACTTACTAATAGAATACTAAGGGAATGGAAATGATTCATTCCAGTGTGCATGGCAGGTCTTAGCTATGAAGGTCAGAACTAGTGGAACTAGCTTGTCAGAGTACATTTACTATAGAAAGAGCAATAGTGATAGGCTTGTTGTGTTTCATCTCTGGGAAAGTTGTAGGGTGGAAAATAATTAAACACCTACAAGGCCACATACATTTTTCAACTCATGAGGATTGGACATCTCCAGTCGAGATATGGCAATAGTATTCCATTTTTGGTTTGATTTGGCTCTTGTAAAGATAGAGCATAGCAGGAGGAGTCTGTACTTACTGTAGTAGTACAAGTAACCAACAATTTTTCCAGCATCTTTTAGTGACTAGTTGTATATTTGAGTTCCATATGAGGAACCTCATTGAGTGACCAAACATTTATCATGATAGATGAAAGTTCAGGTTTTGCTTGGTGATGGTAGATTGCTATTAATTTAGTTTTTGAAGGTATTGAATATTACAATCAAGTCCTTCCTCCTTTGAGCTGCCAGAGCTAGGTCAGAGGAGAGATCGGCTACCAGACTCTGGTCATCTAAATTTTGGGAGGTGTACCCATGCAGTGCTGTATCATCTGCATAGATATTTGCTAAAGATCTGAATATGTTGGCAGGTCATTAATATAAAGTAAAAAATGAGAGTAGGACAGAGAAAAGAGCCTAGGGGAATGCCTGCATTGATCTCACAGGAACCATGTATTTTGTTTTCAAACTTGGCTTGGACTGACAGCGCATAGCTGCTCATTGCATTTTCTAGAATTCTTGCAATGATCACTGGTATTTCTGAATATATCAAGGGTCCTACTAAAATGTTCTCTGTGGTAGAAGAATTTTGCAGAATGGTAAAAGGAGATATTCTGCAATATAAGACCTGAAATTCTCAAATTTGGTGTACATATTTGCTAGCTAGGATAGCTTCAGATCTTAATTTCAGAAGCTCTCTTTTCAGCATTCTTTGGTGAATTTCATTTAATTTCTCTCAAAAGATTATTTAGATAAAACATAAAAATGATTTTTATTTATAGAGGAGGAGATCAGCAATATGAGGATAGAATTGGAAAAATATGGTATCCAGATGCCCTCTTTTGGAAAGATTGGTGGAATTTTGGCCAGTGAAGTGAGTAATTAAGATTATGCTTCTTTTTTTTTTTTTTTTTTTTTTTTTTTTTTTTTTGCATGTTTTGTTATTGATTTATGCAATAAATTGGTAACTATTTGCAGAGTATATATCATTAAAAGAAAATAGCAAATTGTTTGTTATTGTATTTTATGACAAATTTTTCTTATTTTAAAAATTTTCATTGTAGTGTCCATCTACTCCATACATTTGTCTATTTACAAAAATATTTTGAGGATTTCATTACTTTTTGATCATTGAAATTTTAGCATTTTATGTCTCTATATATCAAATTAGAACAAATCTTTTTACAAATACTCTTTCAATAGTCATTTTAGTCATTTTGTGAATGACTGCTTTTTTTTTTGTTTACAGTTGTCTGTTGATGATGCTGCACGTAAGTGTTCATATATATATATATATATATATATATATATATATATATCTTAACTCTGTTAGTGTCTCCATAAGATTTCTTTGAATTGTATTCAGTGTATTGATGGCCTTTATGTATTTATGAATTTTTTTTACTCAAAGCTGTACATTGACATAACAAAAATAATGGAATAGATGCCTAGTATCATGTTTAACTCCATTCTTACTTGGTGAAATGTAGCAACTCAATATGGCGATTCTAAAAATAGTCTGAAGGCCTCTGGAAAGATGTTGAGGAGCCATACTGTCTCTATAGCTGTCAACAATTCCCTGATATTTGTAGGTGCAACATCTTGCCTGTGAAGAGATTTCACCATGATGTTCAATAAAAGTTTGATTGAACTCATATCAGGTGAATGTGGTAGCTAACATCATTTGTCAAGTTTCCAGAATAATCCTAAAACCGATTTTGGGCAACTTTAGATGAATGACTCGGTGCATAATTCTGCTTGAATTATTGTTAAGATATATGAAATCTATGAATTGGTGCAAACCCACTCTTACTAATCCTTCTAACAAAGAATTACTTTATAGTTCACATGCTAAGTTTTGTCTTAGAAATTCTGGAAACTGTATTTGGCCATCTTAATATGCTCAAGATTACTTATTTTGCAAGTCTGAATAAGTAAATATTGCTATATTTTTAACTCCTCACTTCAAACAGTTTAGAAATACTCCTCATTGTCACCCATTTACTATGATTTTTTGATTAAATTTTTATTTCTATTTTTTTAGTACATGCAGCTATAATTGCTATAAATGATGCTATTGAACACGAAGATGCTCTAGAAACAACAAAAGCTCTCCAGAATCCAGCTGCTATGTTGGTCAATTGTGTAGAAAAATTTTCAGACTCTTACCAAATTGTGTTGTCAGAGGCTAAACAAATAAAAGCTGAAAATGCTCGGAACAAGGTGAGAACAATTTTGAATAATAGTAAATAGCTACTCAGATATTATTCTAAATAGTCATAAGTAATCTTTCTCTCCTTTATTAAAATCATATTAAATGTTGCTTTAGAATTTTTATTTAAATTAGTTTATTGATGCTGTCAAAAATAATGGCAATATTTAAGTAATTTTCTAATTACATTGTACATGAAAGATTCTGTTGCTGGCCACTTTGTGTTCATTATTTCCTTAATGAATAACATTCACCTTTTGAATAATGATTGCCACAGCACCAGCTAATTTGTCACCAGAAGAGTTCACTACATAGTTGGAAAGTTTGCTCATCACTAAATAATTAACTCTTCTAATAACAGATGTGTTATGTGGATGTTAAGTGGTGACAAAAGCTAAAAACAATATTTTTGAGATTTGTAATATACATACTGAAAAACTATTCTGAGTTCTAAAGTTTGTCAGTCTTAGAAAAAGTTTTCATGAAAACTGTTAGGAAAAGCATGTAATATCATGTTGGAGTTAAATGTTGCTTATATGAGATTTAAAACATTATATTCTGTATACAAATAATTATTTTGAATTTATTTTTGACAAAGTGACTTTTATGTAATGTAATTAGTGTAATTTCATTACAATTGATTTTCAACTCTTACATTAAATCTAACAAGTGTGGTTTAAAAAATTCAATTGTTTTCACATGTGGATAAGAATTTGTAGCAGTATAATACATAATAGATGAACTGTTTCAACAGTTCGTCTATTATGTATTATACTGCTACAGATGCCTACCACATGTATAATAAAAAAAAAAAAAAAAAAGTTTAGATATTGATAAAGCTGTTCTATTTATATTTTATTAAATTTTGTGTGGGACCCAAATTTTAAAGAAAAAAAATGGATTGATTATATGAAATTTAATATTTGCTGTATTCTTGTAGTTAGTTTTTCAGTTATATGAAATAGATTGTTTTACCATGCCCTACTCAGCTGGCAAAATAAGTGACACTTATTATTGAAGTACAAGTTAATTAAAATCAAGTAGTATTTGTTTTTCATCCTATTTTACGATCCTCAAGAGTTTTAACATACACACATGATCAGGTATATATCTTGTTTCACTTTGATCTACATTAATGGTGGCTTACATTTATAGGTGCAGTGGATCAAGTATATAAACTTATGCTGTGAAAACTATGCTGTTAAATATGGGTACTATTTATTGTAGCAAATTTATTTATATAATTCTAATTTTTCATTTCAGAGTATTGATCCAAACAGTACATATGAAGCTGATGTTTATGATGAATTATTAACCCAAGCTGAAATTCAAGGTTATATAAATAAAGTTAATAGTAAGTGCATATTTGTTTATATCTACAAATCTTTTTGTTAAAACCTATTAATGAGATAATTGTGCTATTAATTTTCAGTTATAAACAGTACTGATCATCAGAGTAAACTTTTTTTCTTAATTCACTATGACTAATATCTTATATGTTCTACAAAAGTACTTACATTTTTATATTTTATAAGAATTTTCAATACAAAACATACATTCTTAATATTCTGTTTCTGCTTATTTCAAATGCATAATTTTAATTTAGGTTTCAAATATTTTAATGCATATAATTATGAACTACCTACTTTTTAATTAGGCTATTACTTTTCTCATCTGTCTATATTTCTGAAATGAAGTATTGTAACTCTTTACATTATTTACATTGTTTGGACTGTTGACCTCATTTTTATTGCCATATTCACATTTTGGCTGTTGTATGTTCTAACCTTCTTCAGATATTTGTTTGAATTTCAAACTGAAAATATTCAATCTGTAAGTTGGCATTTCTGAAAATTGGTGTGATGATGTTTATGTAAACCTTCTTCCCATGTTTATTCCCCGAAATGGGCTGATATAACCTAAACACATCCCTGGGTACAAGATGATAACAATTAGGGTAGGCAGTTTTCTATGTGAAAGACTTATTGGAACAGATCCAAAACATCTGTGGCTCATATAACATCAGAACAATCTTCAGAAGTGATTCAAAACTATGCAGACATCTCTTCCAAGTAAGATCCCCACCTCCATAGAGGAGAACATGATTAAGTGTAGGAAGAAATATAAACAAGAAACGTGCTTCCTCATTAAGATAAGAATGTAGTAATACCAGAAGACCATAACATGAGGGTAAATAGAAAAATCAGGCATGACTGACCACATATGGAGAGAAAAGGGATGAAGGTTGCAATAATAGGCAAAACATCACTGGAAAATACAAAAACTTAAGGAATTAGCTCATATTCTAGGCTACAAAAATCTCCTAAGCTGCCCAAGCATAGAAATGAATACAATATGGGAACCAATGATACAGAGAGCTAGAGAAAAACAACAATAATAGTTGTAATATGAGCTCAGGCTTTAAAAAAAAAATCAACAATTTTATCATCAAACCAGCCATTACTTTCAAGATCAGTTCAAATTTATGCTGTAAATCTCCTGATTTACTTGTGAGCAAGTCTCTTCTTTCTTGTAATTGGCACCTTCATGCAATTTAATGATGGAATCCTCGTCATTGCCCACTGCTACAAATAATCATATCAACTTATCAAGTGTGCTCCATATTGGTCAGGCTAGCTATTATGTTGTCCTGTCTAAACTCAACAAAAGAATTAGTTGGACTCAAGTGGAAATAAAAGCTTCAGAAGACAGCTTCATTCAAAGAAAATCCAATTTTTCCCACCAAGTCTTAATGTGCAACAAATCAACTAACACAGACTGCATTCTTCGAAATAGCTATGTCAATTTCAAAAACATCTATGATGCATTCTTCGAAATAGCTATGTCAATTTCAAAAACATCTATGATGTGTACATTGTTCTCTTGTGCATTGGTGTACAAAGTAAAGTTGATGGCTTTTGCAATGGAATTCCAATTCTCATCCATGAATGTCAGGGCAGCAACAAACTGTGGGGAAAAAAACTTAACCATTGCCAATCCCTGTCACAATATTTGGAAGTGGTGGGTGGTGGAAATGGAACAGATTCTTAATGACTTTACTGAGTGTCCCAGGAATGTGAAGGTTATATATCAATCCATTTCAGGAAATAAACATGGGAAGAACATCTGCACAAATGTCATTGAACCAATCTTCAGAAAACACCAACTTATAGATTGACTATTTTGAGTTTGGTTTGAAATTCAAACAAATATCAGCTGAAGAAGGCCGGAGTGTATAATGACTAAAATGTTAATGTGACAAAGATGAGGACAACAGTCTGAACAATGTAAATAATGTAAATATTATTTTTGTTGCAAATTTGTACAAAATAATACAAATAAGTACAGAAACTTACAAGTATGTTCTGATGTTCTTGGTTGCAAAAAAAAAAAATTCAGACTACACTTAAAAACAACAAAAAATACTCCATTAATACAGATATATGCACATAGAAATTAGCAAAAAAAATCCTTTTACATTGTTGCAGTGAATTTGAAATTATATTGACCTCATACTTTAATAAATCAATTTTGAAAATTCTAAACTATATTCATTTCTAATATAATTGTTGGCATTTAAAAATTAATTTTCATGTAAATGATTTATAAACATTTTGAAAAATTTCATATTGGTATCTTCTTTTTTTTTTAATATAAGAAAATCAGTGAAAATGTTTTTCATTTTCTTCTTTTTTTTTTTTTTAATCAGTTTATAATGGAGATTTTCAAGAATCTTTTTCTGTTAGACAAAATTTGAACATGAACTTGATGGACTTACATCAGGTAATTAGAAAAGGGAAAATGTTTCTTTTATACATGTTACTTTTCAGAAATGGACATGTTCAAAGCCATAAGAATTTTTCTAGCCACTATTTGAAAACTATTGAGGTTGGAAGGTGTAACAGTAATTTCTTAAATTTGCAAGTTTTATTAAGATAGTTAAATAATTTTATCCACTCATTGTATTTGAATCCTTTTGATTTATTATAGAAAGTAATAAGGATTAATTTGTATTCATTTGTTCCAAGTCATTAGTGTATTTATTACTGCTAAAATAATTATCATGTTTAGCTATTTAAATTGTCCAATATATCACTTGTAAACATTTCATTGTCAGGGTTTGTTATAACTGAACCTAATAATAAAATTAACAATTATCAATGAGATATTGTTTTATTCATATCACTTAGTTTTTTTTTTTTTTATTCCTCTTGTCCTATAAGTCACCAGGATCCTAGGGATGCTGCATGGTAGCTTGCTCAACAAGAAGCCTCCACTTGATCTGGTCATTGGTCAGTGCCTAGGTCTGATCAAAACTTTTGCCAATTCATTCAACAACGTTGTTCCGATCATCTTTCTTTGGTATCCCCATCACGTTCCTCCTTGTAGTCATTAAATTTTGCTTTCATTCATTAGTGAATAAGAGAACAAGAAAATAATTCCTGAACTATAATCTCTTAAAAAGAAAATACTATCTCAATAGGGGCTCAAAAGTCCACCTTTTACTTTTAGATTAAGGAATCAATTTTTCAAAGAAACTGTATTAATTACAAAAATATTATGCAAAATGTTTACATTTCAAATAAGAATTTCACTTTTTGTCATTTTTAAGCAATTTCAATGTATTCTGCTACAATAAAAATACCTTAGAAAATGACTTTTTATTTATATCAAATTCTCTATTTGTTTCAGAGAATCATGAAATTCTATTTTGAAATAATATAAAACAAATGTTTTAAAATTTCAAATATCCTGAAAAGTTCATTTTCTGTATACATTGATCAAATATAAATGGATAACTAAAACACGAGTTTCTTTATAGTTATTCATTTCAATACAGTATTCAATTTTTATTGTATGTCTTATGGATCTAATCAGAAAACGAGGAAATTTGTTCCTGCGTATGTTGTTTGTAAATGAACTTGAACATTTGTAGCACTGTATGTCTTATCCTATTAAAAAATGGTAAAATAAAGCAAATTACATGAAAATTTTCAAACTTTATGAAAGTTGATATTTTACCAAACCCTAAAAATATGGAGTAGCACAAAAATATAATCTTTGTAGAATTTTTTTTTTTTTAGATTTTGAAATACTAACTTAAAAAAATTATGACACATATGCTGAAGATTGTGGGTATTTGTCTATTCAGTTATGTTTCTATAAGTTCAAATACCCACTAGCTTCATGGAAATTCCCAGGGAACCAGCTTTTTTTGTATGGATAACTGAAAAATAAGTAGTAACATAGAATATATGATGTTGATGACAGTTCATTTGAGGTCATTAGATGTTATTAAAAAGCATAGTATATAATTTCTAGATAAATGGAGTAAGATATTGGTTTTTTATGAAGTACAAACATGCTTTTTTGACTTCAATTCTCAATTTTGTCATGACCAACAAGAAGGACCATTGGCTTCAACCTGATTTTATTATGCTTTTCTCATGACTTTGTTGTTCTAGTGTTAGATACACAAATAACCTTTTCATACTAGCATCCAATTGGTAAAGCACTAATATTATGAGTACTCAATCATTTCTATCATTTCTTTTGTTTGAGGCATCAGAATATTTTTCATGTGTAAATCTTTTTTCCCTGTGTTGTGTAAGGAAATATTAATGTTTTTCTGCATTGAATAGTTATTTCTCACACCCCTGAATATCTCTGCTAGTGATTATAATACAGTACAATATGAGACAGGTATTGAATTCTATATTTATATCATTTATTTTTAAAATGAAAAAGTATTATTTCATAATGACTTAAAATTCTTTTTTAAATTTTCTTATGTTGATGTGTATATTATTGTGACACTGAGCTGTCAGCCCGTGATCAACTCCCACTTGTGGCGTGAAGCTGTAATGTTTCTTCCACCGGCGTTTTGGGGTTGACTCCTAGTCGATGCCACCTGCCTGTGTCCCGGTTGATTGGTGGTCATCGCTACCCGGCAGAATCCCTTGGTTAGGGTACCAATATGTGACACTGGCCCTGGTTGAATTCTGGTCGTTAATGCTAACGGCTTCACACCATCTGCAACCAGTTCGATACCAGTTCTGTTGTTACCAGCTCACTTCCAACGTCTGGTTACCGAAGTAACTGCTTCGATCTCAAGTCTAACCTACCCACGTTGTGATTTTGATCTTAGGTAGACAAGATCAGTCAGGTGTTGGGCCGTAGTGCAAGATGAGTCCAGACTGGAGGTGATATCGCACAAGCATAAAGAAAAAAAATGCAAATAAAAAAACCCAAGAGGTTCAAGTATGTTAAGAAATAACAAATTAACTTTATCCATCTGATATATACAGGAGTGTGTTTTTCTCCCAGCCCGTTTTCCACAGTGTGATACTCCTACATTTCAAGCAAGTTTTGGTATCTTAAGTCAACTGATTTAATTCTTAGGTGCTGGCTTGGCTTCATTCATCAGTATAACTCGTTATTGATAGGATAGGTGAAATCGGAGGTTGTGGTATTTCTTGGTCAGCTTCTGCGAGGCAACACTCTGGTTTCCGCTACTCGAACTGAACTCAACTGTTGACTGTACTGTCAACTAACTCTAACTGTCTGTTGAACGGCCCGAGGACGTTCATTTATATGGGTACCGACCAAAAACTGGTGTGGGGTTAGACGTGGTCTAGGGTTCTCGGTAAATCTCGATTTCCAACAAGAAATCTTTGTTGTCAGGCCAGAAAAATTGATTACTTCCCATTTTTGGAAAATTAATCACTTTCCATTTGGGGGGGGGGGTCTCCTCATCTGTGAGGAGAGGTTGGAGGAGAGCTATCCTCCTAAACACTTCTTCTCTCACATTGATACCTCATACCAATCCCTTCAGTGGGCATTAATAACTTCTCCATCCTTCTCATTCATTTACCTCCGCCTATCACCATTGCTACCACTCGATCAATGGCATCTCGGCTGTTGGGTGTGGCTAAGCTGGCCTCCTTAAAATTATACCCAGAATTTTTGTTTACAAAATTCTTCCCTCCCCCCCATCGGTCAAAATTTTTACGAATCCCACGTTGCCACTTAAAATCTATCATATCTTTTGGTCACTCAGAATCCACTTAGCCAGCACTCTTTACAAATTCCATCAATCACTGTCAAAGTTTGCCATCTGGTCCCTTCATGAAGTTAGATTTTACTGGAACCCTTGTCTTCTTGAGAAATTCATTCTCTCCAAATGCTATTCTTTCACGCTACCTTTTCTCATGCCAAAATTTTCACAAATACCATATGACTTTGCTTTTCTGGCACTCGAGAGAAAAAAAAAAAATGATATCTTGGGAAGATAATTAACATTGATTCTTTTTATCCCGTATCGGCAATCATCTCAGGCCGAAATTTTTATGACTGCCATGTGGTCTGCCTGATATCTTAATGCTTTGCCTTTTCCCAAATTCTCACGTTTCCCTCAGCAAGGCATTTCTTTACAACAATATTAATCAATTTGACAAAATCTCACATATGGCTTTTCTATGGGTCTGCTGTCTCTTGTGAAAAGTAACTTTTTTCGGAAATAAAATAAAATCTTTTAAACATCGAACAGTATATCTTTCAGGTTATCCTCTCTCCGTTTCCAGCATTTCCTTGTTTAATTTTAATGGTTAATTAATTAGCCAATAACCATAGCTAAATAGTGTCACATTATAGAATATTTCCTATTGTTAACATTATAAATTAACTACATTTTCGTGTAATCAACAATATCACAAATAGGATTTATATTTCTAATGATTACATATATAGTGACATAGTAAAAGCACATATAGAAAATAAGCAAATGCCAAAATTTCTAGGATGTTTACCATATGAACAGATATATTAAATATAATAGTAATTCAAGTTGATCATTTAATACTTATCAATGTTCTTCTGGAAAACTTATCTGAAATATTAATTTCAGAAATACATGTTTTGGGCTCCCTTGTACCCTTCATAGAATAACTTTTAATAGTTATTTCTTTGTGTGTTTTGTCTTGTTGCATAACAGTAAAGATCATTCACAGGGTCATAACTAGTTAGTGCTTAATAGTGAAATTTAATGGGATTTAATCAGTTTTTTACATCAATTTTTTTTTTTATTAGTTGATTAGTTGTGGATTGAAATTTTTGATGGTCAAGAATTAAAGTGTTAATGACAAAGTCAAACTTTGATGTTTTTCTCTGTAATTGAATCATACAGATTAGACATGAATTATTGTTTTAAATGTGGAAAAAATAATTATCAAAAGTATATTAATAAAAAAAAATTTTATCAAATAAAAATAACCTCTTATTTCAGCTCTTATGTGCTTGGATTGTTTAAATGATGCAATTTTGAAAAATGATGAGATAGCTCTATTGAATGCCTTGACATCAAATTTCCTTGCTTTGAAGAATGTTAATGCCAATAACATTGACTTTTACATGAAGACTCTGCAAGAAGCCCTTGAACTAAAAAAGGTTTGAGCTTTTTTTAAATTACATATATTGTAAAAAATTAAATTAGTAAAAATGTGCATGAAATTACTCTACTATTTACCCAAAGTGTGTATGTGTATATTAGTTTTGGAACTTTGAAATTTTTATTTCTGCATGACAGGAAATAATTTTTTATGTATAAATGTTATAAAAACACTATCTCAAATTCAAGATTTGATTCAGTTATATTTTGAATCAGTCATTACATATTGATCCTATATCAGAATATATTAGGTACTTAAAATTTAAACTGTTCTAAATGAATTTCATTTTCAAACAAAAGAATTTGATTCCTCGAAAGAATTAAATAGTTAATTAGAAAAGAATAACTTAAAGTTTGAATTTTTTGAATTGTTAGGATTCATTAAGATTTCATAGCTTATATTGTTTTCTGAGATGCAATCTCTTGTTATAGGAAATAGTAGCTAAAATGTTATCAGTGAAGATTCCATACTGGTAAAGATAGTAAAGAGGTTCATTACACTGTCAAATGAAGATTGGTAAATGCTAAAATGTTACCAAACGCGCTCAAGAGCAATCTGATAATTGTCATCATATCTTACTCAACATTCTGAAGCAGTGACTCTGGATACATGGGTGTAGAGAAACAGATGTCAAAATGGTATCAAGATCTATGAAATTGGGTGGATTGACGGTCTACAAGAAGCAAGAGCCACAACTAAGGAATCATCAGCTATACCAGTAATCATGTTAACAATTCTCACTTGCACAACTTGTGGACTTGTATACAGTCCTTAATTGTCACACCAGGCATGAATACCTGAACTGAATTTTTTTTTTTTTATACTCCTGTCAAAATTGATGGGAGAGTTTATATATATATATATATATATATATAAAATTTCTGATGAAAAATTGAGGACAATTTGAAATATCAAATATATATATATATAAATAAATAAATACTTTCATAAAATAAAACATTATAATTTTTAATTTGAAACTTTTTCTATATATATATATATATATATAAAAATGTGTGTGTGTAAAATATGACAAAACCTTTTACAAGACCACGTGTAAGTGTGGTTAGTTATGGGTATGCATTAATTTTGCATAATGGTTATGTTGTAAACACTGAAGATTGTCCAATGAAATCTTTAGTTGTGATTTTATAACTGTTTTTTATTTGTATTCTTAGTCTTTACTAATAGCTATAATACAATTTTTCTTATATAAAAAACAAAGCAAAATCAGTGTAAGAAAATAAAGTTTGGGTGAAGTAACCAATGACCTGTCTTAGTAAGTTACAAAAAATTACAACATAGTTAACTGTAGTTATGTTTGACAAGAAAATAAGGGATTAAACAAGGAATGATATTTCTGTTAGTCAAACAAGGAATTAATTTCCTCTGTAATTAGACATTCTCATAATCATATACTTACATAAGATTGTTTTTTTACGTTCATTTTATGTTAACATTGTGACCTTTGATCAAGCTAGGCTACTGTGTGTGTGTAGGATGTATAGAACAGACACTCGGTAAAACACTTTGTTAATAAATTTTCAACTTTGTCTCATCAACTTTTCCTCAGCATAAATCTGAAAGAATTTACCCATTTTTCAAACATGATACAAGTAGGAGATAATTGTTCATCTTTTTAAAATATTTGTATATGCATTTTAAGGATTATGATTTTAGGAGCTCAATATAAAATACAAAGGAGATTTGAAAAGATTTGGGGCCTGGCTTTTTTCCTAAAAAAAAAAAATAAAAAAAAATCATTTATCTTTTTTCATTAAAAATATTAATTTTGGGAAGTGGATTGGACTAAGTAACTTCAACTCTCCCTTGTATATGCTCTGGAATTTTTCAGACTATATTTTTTTCTTATAAATTTTCCTGATTGACAAAGGTACAAAAAAGAAATATCAAAATTTTACTATAAATAACTAATCTATATTTTAAGATGAAGAGGGTCTAAAGAGTACCTTCTATTATATTGTAGATTAACACTAATCATTTCATACATGATATCTAAACTAATTTTTTTTTTTTTTTTTTTTACTTTCAAGCAAAAGATTTAAAAATGGACACTCTTCCTTTTTCTTTAACCAGATTGGGTAGATTTGGACATCTATCATCACTATTTTATATTCATGGAGACTCATGTTCACATGTACTGCTAGATTTAATTTAATTTTGCATCCACAGCTAATTAAAATTTTTATGCCATAAACATGTTGATTTAATGAGTAAATGCAACACACAACTGAAATCTGGTTTCTGAGTCTTGTACTTTTATCTATAAATTTGGCAACATATCTTCTAACAGGTTAAATAACTGAAATACTTAAGTTTACTTTTTGACCAACTAAAAGTTTAAGTGTCTGGAATAATAATTCTGCATCTGAAAATGTATGCATTCTGATTTTTTTTTTAATATTTTGCTCTACAACTGAAATCTAATGTTTATTCTCATCCTCTATTGTCTATGCAATCTTTTAAAATAAAGAAATATATAAGGCCAGCTTTAAAAAATGATTAGAGAATTTGTAAGAAAAAAATCATTTGAGTAACAATTTCACAAAAATTTGTCATCAGACTAATAAAAAATAATTTTTAAATTTTAATAAAATCAGATTTATTGAAAATGAATAAAACTGATAAAACTCAATCTTTTAATGCCCATTCTGAGGATGGTGGGAATTAATGAGTCATAGATAGCTATCTATAATTAATACTGAATTTTTTTTTTATTTTATAATTAACACTGGATTTTATAGTGGGTGTTAATGGATTAATCAATGTTAAAAAAACAAAACAAATGAAGGTCAATGGAGAATTTTCACTGATCATTAAATTGGTGAGCCTTAGAAAAAAAAATATATTTACCTTAGTGCAAAAACTGGGCAAATATTAAAAGTAGCCAATTTTAAAACCTGTGGGTTAATAATATGAAGGTTGATCAGAAAGTAATACCTGTTTTTTAATTACAAAGTACACAAAGCATACCAAAACAAACACAAATATCTCGGGATTCCAAATATAGTCCACAGCATAGTCTCCTTAGAAGTTTCTTGGCTGCTTACTTAGACATTTGCAAGTTGTCTCTTTTACCTCATCATCATTGGAGAACCACTGTCCTCCTTTATGGGTACAAACAAATTTTGACAGGACTTTAGGATGGATGAAGTAAAGTGATCTAGCCATGCACCACGATTGTTTTTCCTTGAGCCTTTTGTACATTGTCATATTGCCAAAACACATCATTCATTTTCAAATCTGTCTTAGTTTAAAGAAGCCCTGCTCCGAGTTTTTCCTATCTGTTCATATAGGTGTCAACAATATTAACTCCTTTTTTATTTAAATCATTAGCAGAAATCTCTCTTTGAGCTGTTTAATATTTTAAAACTTGTACCACTTTCCTTTCTAGTTATTGATATCCATCTATCTAGTGTTCACTTCCATATTTTCTTGAAGGTAAAGCTGACAGTAAAACAGGATTTCATTGAAACAGCAATTTTGATCCTGATTCTGATATGGTTAGTTAATTATAATCCATAATTTTAAACCTTTTTAATGAGCTTCCAGTATTTATAACAAACTATATTATTCAACATTTATCACAAATGATCAAATGAACTAATTTTTGTTGCAGAACAATAATGGTGGTGATGTTAGACTGGACAAGGATGATATTCAAATTGCTACAAATGTTGCCAATGAAGATGCTGATATAGAATACCAAAGTATGTAACTTGATTTTCTGACATTCTGCATTAACTTCTACAAAATTGCAAACTTAAGAAAAATATGAACAAAGACTGTCGATGTGTGTATTAAAATTAAAAAAAAAAAAAAAAAAATTTTTATTTTACATTCTGATTCAATTTTGAGATAATGCTTTTACAGGGGAACATTTTTCCTCCAAGTATTCATTTTGGGGTTATTCTTTTATAGACAACTGTTATTTTATTGTTTAACATGCTCACAAAGTAAAATTAACATTGTTTATTTCCTGCAAGTGGATATTTTCTAGGTGGTAAAAAATTACATTTATTAAATGTTAAAAAGTAATAATTAGCTTTGTTAAATTATTTGAATAATTGTTGATATTCTGTCTTTAATTCAATTGAGATCTAATTTGTAATTTGAATAAAACTTTTGCTTCAGTCTGATGACCAGTAACAAATATAGTTCATGCTTCTAAAGAGTTGTCTGATTCCAGAAGTTGTTAAACATTTGATATTAACTTGATTAATCTGTTTTGTTTAGACTTTTAAAAAGCACTAAAAAAAAAAAAGCTTAAAGAGGAAAGATTTTGTTAATGTTTCAGTATCCCTTGGTATTTATGCCTTGGCATTGCCTTGACAAAAAGAATGACCTAGAGCCATGAAACACTATTATTCCACGTAATCACATTTAGTATATAATTTCTCAAATGTCTTTAATATCCCCCCCCCCCAAATCCTGATATATATTGAAACATTGATTTCTTTTTGAAAAGTGGTTTGGGCTCAAGAACTTTTCATCACTTCCATGTAATTGTAATGCCCCCCATTTGAGTGAATCTATTTTTAATATTTTAAACCTGATATTTTAATATCAATTTAAGTAGATCTTTCTTCTTTTTAAGATTAATTTTCAGTAATGCTCTTTTATCCCAGAACAAACAGCAGTAAAAAATATCAACAATTGTATTGAGAATGGAGATGCAATGCAACTTATGAGAGCTCTCCAACATCCAGCAGCACTTTTGAATCCTGTTGATGACACTGCACCAATGTTGTACTATGATGAATTTTGCAGTATTAGAAATGAAAAACAAGCATCTTTGGAGTATCATGAAATTTTTAATGCTGTTAAAAGTAAATATTTTAATATTTAACTTTTTTTTTCTTTTTCAGTTCTTTGTTCTTAAATAAATTTACATTAATGAAGTTCATAATTGCTTTTTACATATAAGATAACCAAAAAAGCCCTTGCCATTTTTTACGTTGTGAAGGAAGAAGTGATCACTGATAAGCAAATGAGTGCATCACTTGTTGGGAAAGGGGTAAGGGCATTGCTCTTGATCAACATCACACACATTAATCGTAGCTTTAGCTGTGGCGAGGAAACTTGGTGATGCCAAAGCAACTTGTTCCAGGTTGCCTGCTTTATGACCTTATGGGCTTGTCCACAACCACACCAAATTGCCGAATATGTTAGGCCTTTGGGAATAATGCTGTGCGTGAACACACCACCAAGTATTCATCCCAGAAGTTCAGGTTCGGAGTTGTCATTGAGTGACAGCCTGTTTCTCCTTACTTTCTTGGCACTGCAACGTACTCATATTTGATAGTGAGCTCACTGGTGACAAAAAGTGGGTCCTGTATGACACTCCAAGTGTTCCAGACATTGGTTGTCACCATGGGACCTTCTGTCTCACACCACAAAGACCACCTCTACATCAATGCAAAATCATGCTCTATATTTGATGTACTTGTCAAGAACTGGTGTGCTATGATCTGCTACCAACAGGCAAAAGAATCACTGAGAACTTGTCCTTGTGGGAGTTGGAATATTTGCAACAGGGACTGAAGCAGGAGCCAATATTGGTTAATTGCAAGGGAGGGTGTACTGTTCTTCCATGTGGCATGGGTGACCAGGGATACCATACGGCAACTTGGTTGGGAGACACTGCCATCCACCTTAATCACCGATCCTTGCACCAACAGATTACCACCCCTTTCATTCTTTATGGGAAATCATTTGCAAATGAGGCAGACTTGCTGCAGGCATTCACAGATTTTTTTGCATCCAAGACACCTGATTTTTACTGTCAGGGCATTGTGCAATTGGCAGCATGTTGGCAAAATGTTTTAGATGCCAATGCGGGGAGTATGTCAAATTTGCTGTATACCTTCTTTTTTTTTTTTTCCTAATAGATCAAATGGCAAGGGATATTTTGGTTTGGATTTTTTGGCATGTCATTTTTACTTAATATTTATTAAGCTAATATATTTTGTTTAGAAGCTTGATTATATATTTTAGGTTTAAAATAAATCAAAATCTGATTGCATCATAAAAATTGCATTGATAAGTTGTAAGTATTTGCTAGAAATTAATTTTAAGAACTTTTGGAATGTATCTTTATTTCACTCTGACCAATTAGATTTGTTAAAACTATCTTCAGGAAGTTGAAATTGTAATGTTGGTTCTCTAAATTGTGGCATTAAAAGGAAACTTTAAACTATACAACTTTAATCATGTTCTTTACATGTACACCATTTTTAAGGAGGCTAACATGCTGTTAGCTAACATGTTCTGTAGTAAATGCTGCCTTTATTTTAAAATGTTTGGGTGTATTTGGAAATTTCTGAAAAGATATGTCATTTAATCAATTTTATCCCCATCACTTTTTAATACATTTTTCAGGCAGCACAACAAAAATGTTAATTCTTGTTTTTTGGTGAACGTTTGTCATATCTGCAGTAGTTATATCACTTCAAATTGTCTACATTTGTTGCAGATGATTTCATTGCTTTTTAAAATCCCTTGATAAGAATTTTTACATTTGCACACACTTGAAAATTACTGACAGGTTTCATGTGCATATATTGTTATATTACCCATCAGCAATATTGAAAAAAAATATTAAAATTCATATAAATTTCTCATATGACATCAGTTTCTATTTATTACTGTTGCATTTTTTAAAAAGGTCATCTCAGTTTCCTCTTTGAAAAACTCCTTGGTGTAAATTTGGAATTACTTCGACACATTTTCTTGCATCAATATGAGTAGCCTAATGATGAAAAAAGGCTGTTTTTTTCAACATAAACATTTAATGCAGTAGTGAATACTAATCATAGATTGAACATTGTACAGTGAAAATTTTAGATCAAATTTGTGTTAACCTTCATGTTATCATGTTATCCTGCCTTCGCTTTCATCTATTTTGCCCGCTTTTCAATATATTGTTAAGACCATTCCTTTTTTAAATATTACTTTTGTGTCATTACAGGTTATATTTGAATAAGGATTGCCTTGTCTAAATATCATATTTTTAGTATAGTAATACAAGGTGATACTGAAAAATTCTTAATCTGACCAAGAATCCCTACCAAAAATTAATCTGATGTTTCATTATTTGGTCATATTTTGGGAAGTGGATCAGGTAGAAAGCTTTTCGGTGCCCCCTTGTGCAGCCTGGATTATTAAATAAGTAACTTCTGATAAGTTTGTCAGTTTAAGAAAGAATTAAACAGTAAATGTTCATTGTTTATACATAGAATAAAATTTCAGTTGAAACTGAATTTTATAAATTCAGAACATTTGTCATTAATTAGTGATTTTATTTAAATCTATTATTTGGTTTAAATTTAACACTCTAATGAGATTCAATTAACTTTATTTCATCAAATGAACCTGCTGTATAAGGAAAAAATGAGTTCCTTGTAAAATTTGAAATTAATTAGTTGACTTATGGTTGTTTTCATATGCAATAGTTTAAGGAAACTTATAAAATTAAGAGCCTTATAACATCCATAATGAAATGTTCTATAATTTTACTTGTTCCTACTTTAGTTAGCATGACCATTACACCCTGCTAATATATCATAATGGACTATTCTGTATTCGTTGTGGAAAAACGGAAGACATAGAGGCACTACTTGGTTTCAGTGAAATGGAAAAAGTTGAAATTTCATATCTTTTCATTTGTTCCCCTCTTACTTTTTCAAATAATAACCAGCATTCCTATTTATGATTGTTATTGTAATATTTTGTTAAAGTTAAGTGCAAATATTTAACAATGTGATAGGGAAATTTCTACAGATATTTTATTGTTGTAATACCAGGAGCTTATTCAATCAGTAACTAAAAAATTAAGATTCATCAGGAAATTAAAATAGGAAAACCGTGAAATTTTCACAGGTCTAATAAGTCACTATTGTATCATTAGCTCTCACTGAAAATTGTTAATCTTGATAGAATATTTTAATTTAAATCTACTTTAAAATTACTTTTTGTTTACTCTTTCTCTCTAGTACTTTCAGCTATTGCTGCTATAAATGTAGCCATTGATCAAAGAAATACTCAGACATTATATAATGCCCTGTGCAACCCAAATGCACACATTACAGGGCTGGACATTGAACTTAGTGAGAAATATATGAATGGTTTAGTTAATGAGAAACAAAGGAAGATTGGGGTAAGTATCTTGATCTTTAGTAGTTTTCTAATGAGTAAATTTGATAAAATGTTAAGCACAAGTTTTTAACAATACATAAATTTTATTTCAAATGCAATATTTTTTTCAGGTAATCTAGCTATTTTCAGTGTGTGTGTGTTTTTTTGTTTTTTTCCCCTCATCAATTTATACTGTACTGGTATTCTGTCTATATGGGTAAAGATTTATAAAGATTTTCTATCTATTTCTATCATGCAATGTTTTATCATTACTCTTCACTTACGTAAATATATTCAAACATAGTTAAGTTTCAGCTTAATATTTGAACAGTTATTTTGGTTTTATTTTTAAAATAAAATATTCAAAAATATATACAAACCATTTTAATCCAATTATTTAAAAATATATACTCATCCTATACTTTGTTTTACAACAAAATGTTATTTACTTTTGATTATTTAAGAGCAAATAATTGAGCCAAATATTAGCAAGTTATCAATAAACTTAGCTTCTCATTATTTCAGTATAAACTGAATGCAAATAAAGGTATTGTGATTTTTATGAATATTTAGTGACCAGATGGGATTTCTAATAGATGCTATCAACCTTTGATGTTGGGATTGATGAAATTACTGAAATGATAAAGGAAATATATGACAGTGGTGAAATACTGGAAGACCTCAGTAGATCTATATTCATAGTGATGCCAAAAAAGGCAGATGTAAATTAATGTGAATGTCATCAAGCATTTGGCTTAATGAGCCACACAATTAAGCTTAATTATTCTAATGAATAATTAGTGGCAGAATTAGTCTTGAAATTGGTCGAGCACAGTGTTGTTTTGTTCAAGATGCTGGAGCAAGAAATACCAACTTTTAATGTTCAGAATGATATTAGGGCAAGCAATACAGATGCAGAAAGATCTAGACTTATGTTTCATAGATTACACTGAAGCATTTGAAAAGTTTTAAAGTATGACAAAGATCTATTTGAAATACTAGGAAAGCTTAATTTACATGGTATAAAGTATTCAAGTAGTCTGAATCCATTACTAGGAACAAATAGTCTCCATTCAGATAAAGAACAAATTTAGTGAATACACAATAAAACAGTTATGACAATGCCTTTTCTCATCAGATTTTTTTAACCTATACAGTAAGACAATCATAAGAGAACCAGACTTGCTAAAAGTTATCAGCAGACATAGTATATTCAGATAATACTGTGTTGAAGGTACTCAAAGAATTCTTAGACCAGGAAGTAAAAGAAAGTGAGAAGAAATATCTAACTATTTGTAAGAAGACAGAATGCATAATCATCAGGAAAGTGAACAGCTCAAGATGTTAGGTCTCTATTAGGAATGTCAAAATCAAGCAGGTACATATATTTAACAGACAATGGAAAAAGGTGTATTGAAATAGTGAGAGATGTCTTACAGAAACTAAGCAAAGTATTAAAAGATAGGAAAATATTGTCAGAAACAAAGAAAAGTGTTGAACTGTTATGTAATATCAAATTGTCTATATAGCAGCGACTATTCGTCTTTTCATGGATGAAGAGACTTAAATTGAAAGATGTGGTTCTGCTGTTGAATGCTAAGATTACTATGGACAGACCATGTGAACAGTGAGGAAGTCTTAAGGAAAATAGGAACTATAAGGGAACTTATAATTACAATGAGAAAAAGACAGCTGAAATTTCTGGGACACATAGGGGCCTAAAGAATTTAACACTTGCAGGACATATTGAAGATAAGAGAAATGGCAAGTAATCTGTTTGTGTGAATAGAAGACAACAGGGATGGTAAAAAGTCAAAAGTTATTAAGAGTATACAGGAAGTTGTGGAGATCCATGATTGCTCATGCCCTGGGGGGATATGATGCATAAAAGATGGCCCATCTATGTTTAGAATAGTGATTTTATTTTTTCTGCAAATGCAGTAAAAAAAAATTATTTGTTTTAGTTTAACAACAGTATCAAGATTTATAGGAAAAATGTGCTGTATCCAAAACACAAGTATTTTCTTGATAGAAAAGAAAGACTATTTCATCATTGAGTTATGTAATATTTTTGATATTTTTGTACTTGTACTAAATGGGTAAGTTGAGATGCTTCCTTTTGTATTAGCAGTTGTCATCAATGATTTGGATGCATTTGCTTTGCTTTTTAGCTGTAGAATTTTTATATCCATTAAAATGATAGACTAAACTAAATTTAAACGTATATTTTTTTACAGAAATTTTTATATGCTTTTTTTTTTTTTTTTTTTTTAATATTTCTGCTATAAATTCTTGATAAGAAAACTAAAAAAATATTTTTATAAAATACTGATATATTGATCACCTTTGTAGGTGCCCTGTGAACAACTCACTCATCATGAAATAGTGATGTGTATAGAAAAAGTTCATCAGCAAGTACAAGAGGAACATGAAAGTAAGTGCAACTGAACTTCTTGAAACACAGATGTGGCTAATGTATAACTGGAAAAATATCTGTATTGTGCATAAACACCAGATTATAAATAATAAAATTTAAATTATTTACAGTTATTAATTACATTTGAGTATACTCAACAATATACTTCTAATTTTCAAGTGAAAACAAATACTATATTTAATCAGTTTGAAGATTTCAAATATTTTGAGTTACCTGATAAAGACCTTGGCATGTATATTTTCACTTTTCAAAAGTTTACTACTTTCCAGTATTTATTTTAATAAATATTGATACCTTTAATAAATTTTCACAGTAATCAGAATAAGAAAAGTTAACTTAGTAAACTTGTGGAGAGAATCCAAATTTCTAGTAAGTTGGCAATGGTTTGTCTTGTTTCTCACACTCCTCGCCTATTTTACATTCATAATGATTTGTTAGTGACAAAAGTATATTTGATTTTATTAAGTTTACATCTAACAACTATTTAGAAAGTAAGCATTTTATTACCATATTGGGTATAGTCAGAGTACAATGAAAACATGCAAACATATCACAATTTGATTTTTATTTTCTTTTATTTGAAATTAGGGATTCATGCTATTGGTTTAATCAATGATGCCATCTCCAAAGGTGACCTGATGTCCACACTAGCAGCCCTGCAACTGCCTGCTGCACAACTCAAAGATGTGAGAGAGCAGCAGGCACAACAGTATTTAATTATGCTTACTAGTAAGAAAAAGAAGAAAGCTCAGGTAAAAAAATTGTTCATTAAAAGAATCTTTCAATTTATACTCAGTATTGTTACATAAATGTATACAAGTTAAAACAGAATTGCATATTGTAAGAACTTAGCATATAAATTGATATTTTTCATACAAAAAATAATTTAAACTTGTTAATTGATTTGCTGGTTTGAAGTTGTTTTTAATTACTGGACATTACTAACAAGTTCCTTGCTAAAAATATTCTCGGTAATTGTTATTTAGTAGTTATTTAGGTCTCCGCATGTCCACCCCTGGTTGTTGACCCCAGTTGCATGGTTGCCAGACTTGGTATTAGGATTGCCTTGATTTGTCCTCAATCAGAAAAAAAGTTAATGACTATGGATATTGAGTTGACAAACTCAAAAATTTTATTTTTAATTTTTGTATCTCAAATTGTTTGAATGTCATACTGAATTGTCATACACTACAGGACTGTCAGCACAATTGTTTTGCATAGAAATGTCAGTGAATCTCTCTGACCTTAGATCATCTTTCACATTCACTACCATATCTTAATAGAAGGATAACTGAAAGTATGACAACTCATTGGTGGTGGTGTTTAGAAAATAACCACTTCATCTGCAGGTACTAATAGTCTCTGTTTTTCAGTGTAGTGTTTATACTTCAATTTGACTTAGAGAATATTTGTATTTTTCAGGAAACTCAAGATGAAGACATTGTCCTTTGGCTTGAGGAAATCCAGGAAACTGTTCTTGAGGCTAACAGGGATGAAGAAGAAACCATAAAAAGTATAAAATATTTCCTCTTGAATTTGAATTTTAAACATTTGATTCCTTCTAAAATTAATTTTTTTTATACGCTATTGGAAAATAATTATTTACAATTTCAAGATTTGCTATTAAATTATGAAAATGTAGCTTTATTGGATCAGAATGTATAGAAAATAATTTTAAATATTATATATGCAGCTCTTGTACAAGGAACAGTTCAGAATGCTTTACACCTTGTTTGATTCTACTTGACCTATTTAAAGAAGTAGCTTTCATTTGAAATTATTGTAAGGCTTTTTTATCTTTTTTTATTTCAGTGTCTGTTGGTATCAAAGACATCAATGCTAACCTTGATCAGCATTCCTCTGAAGTCTTATTACAATCTTTACAATCTCCTCATGTCCAACTGCAAAATTTACGTCCTTCTTGTGCTAATGAGTATATGGAACAGTTGAAAGCATTACGCAAAGAAAAAGCAACATTGGGTAAGACAATTAAATTTTTCTAATTTGACAGTCAATAAATATTGTATATGAATACATAGTCATGTCCATTCAGTATATTGATTAAAGATTCAAGTCTGTTTTGCATATAATTTTTACTTTAAAATTATTTTAATATTTTAATGAGTTGTAACTCAAACATTGTAAGTTTATGGTCCTATGAAAGTGTTTTTTTTTTTTATTTCAGTTGTCAGTTTTCCAGTCTGTATCCCTGGTTTAATTCTTCTTGGGAATATCTGTAAACTAATTCTTGTCTCTCCACTTCCAAATTTACCAGGCAATAACCTAACATCCAAGAGCTCAGAGAGGTCAACACCATTGACATGGTAGGGTAGACATTCAAAGCTTCCGAACCAGCAATTCACATGTGGAGCTCTCAGTACACCCAGTGTCCACGAGAGCTCTGACCCTCCTCCTCCCATTTATTTTTATTGGGGTAATTGCAGCAAACAAATCTGTAAATGATGCTGCCATCACCGAAGTATTAGAAGACTGAAGAGTGGCAAATGTCTCAGAACGACATACTTTTGCAAAATGGACGATTTTTTCCCCACATCTTCAACAGGTGGTGTTCCAAGCTGGGCAGTTACAGTGAGGATGCTTATGGTTTCCACAAAAGAAGCACTTTTGAGTTTTAAAAGCCACTGTGGATGCTATGTTTTCTGTCGGGCTGCAGGAGTTACCCTCAAAGGGGGCTGCAGCACTAACTGTTTGAGAGATAGAGTAGAACTCTGAACTTTCTGAGTTTGTTCAAGAGCTCTGGCTTGGTCAAAGTTTATCAATTAATGTAAAAAAAAAATAAATCATGAACATCATTGTATTAAAATAAGACTAGACGAACTTTTTAGACTTTATTTTTCTGTCATGATGATAAAGTGGAGATTGGCAATAAAAAAAACAATTAAAAATCACTGTTAATGTTGGCAGTAAGCTATAAATAAATGAAGCTGATAAGGGTCAGTTACTTAAAATGCTGAAAAAGACAGCGCTGAAAAGTTCTCAGCTAGAACAAGAAAGGCTTTTAAAAAAGAGAATTTTTATTTTTAGTCAGAATTTGGGGTGGGGTAGTATCTTAGGTAAATACCTAAGATACTACCCAACCCCAAATTCTGTTTCTTATAAACTCTTAGCCTTATTAGAAGTAAACATCTCTTGTCATTTAAAGATTATTGGAGTTTCATTTCATTCTGTTATAGACAAGCGTATGGTTGCAAGAAAGAAATACGACAACAGCAGAAATAGATTTACATGGTTTATTTCAACAGGAATGTGTGGGTTTGGGACAGTTACCTTGTGGTAAAGTTCATAAGCCGGCTTCAGATCTAGGTTGATCTCTCATAGTAGTTCACATGTGTTGACGGTGGTTGATGCTCTCCTGCTGTCAGCTACTGACCGCTTTTTCCACCACCTGTTGACTGCCTGTTGAACTTCCTGTGTGACCCCTTTTTAGCGTTTTTTTATATTAAAACAGGCTCGAAAACGAAGCGAGTATAATAATTAGGAGGGAAGCATTTTTTTGGTCGAAAAATAGAACACTTTAAATATTTTTATTTTTCGACCGGAACATGTGTGTCGGGAACATTTGTAAATGAAGATAATGGTCATTTTGTGACGGGGTTTTGTCCCGTTCACATCCGGCTCTTGCTCTTGAGTATTTGCCTGTAAATAAGCCGAGATATGTCTTATTTTATTTTATAACAATTCTTTCATCAAAAGGCAACTGCCATGGCTAAAACAAAGCAAGTTTTGTTAGGAAACAGACAGAAAATTAAGCATGTTCTTTTTTTTTTTTTTTTTTTTTTCTGAGGTAGACGTATTAGTGAAAGAAAGAATTGAAAGTGAAATATTCTGCACAAATTCTATATTGAATGGTTTATGAAAAAAGGTAGTGAATATAAGTTTTAACCAAATTTTTTCATTTTCAATAAAAGATTTTTCATTTTCTTTTTTTTAACAAAAATTCTCTTGCTCTCATGCACAGTCAATTTTTTTTAAATAACATGCATTTACAAAAAGCCTGTTGAATAAAATGTAAACTTATTAACTTTATATCTGCACAAAATTGTAAATGTCAATCACATTATCTAAATTCAGCTCATACATATTAATTTTTCAGCTTTTTCATGAAAGTGATTAAATTTAGAATTTATTATCTTTTTAATAATATTTAACTTAAATGAAAACTATAAGATAACAACTATTGTAAAATATTTTGTTTTATAGGAGAAACTGGAACTGGGTGGATGATGAATAAATCCAATCGAGGCTTCAAGTTCTACTACAATGTGAATACTGGTGAATATGCTTGGGCGCGAAATGAAAACATTGTTAAGGATTTTTCTCTCTTGACTAAAGAAGAAATTCAGGTTTGTACTTTTTAAGAAATGCTTTATTTAATACATTAATGAAAAATGATTTAACCAGTATATTTAAAGCTGCAACTAAAGTTATTGAAGTCTTTTCAGATTTTACCCACTTTTTTTGTGAGATGCATATTTGCAACCTCTCATTATACAGGAATCTTTGTTTTTTATATATATATATATATATATATTTCATACATGTTTCATTAAATAATATAGACAAGTGTTGTCTATTTTATGTAAATTCTTTTCATAACGTCTGATAAGCTTAATAACATTATCATTAAACAAAGAAAGAAAATCACAATATTGATCCGTATTTTTTAATCCAATCTAAGCCATTATCAAAGATGTCAATTACTGTACAATATATTAAGCAATATACGGACAAGACAGTGATGATAGTCTGTTATTGTTTTACATGAATGATTTCCAAGCAACAATAAACACATGCTTATAAGACGCTGGAAGCGAAAATCGCACCACAGCTAATGACGTCACACATGACCACACGAGTGAATTCGAGAAGTATTAAGTATGGGAAGCCATTGGTACAAACCAATGGTTTCTGTTACCAATTATAGACATTTAAGGATATTTGTGGAGATTTCATAGTTGATTTTGTTTAGGTTAGGTTTCAACTGTTTTATGTATATACTAGATTTAGTGTAGTATATGATTAACTCTTAATTTTAATTTTTTTGCTAGGATCTGTTGTTGATATATTAGTATTTACTAAATTTTTAAGTATATTTTCATCTTGTTTATAATTAGTATGCATTTGATTACGATATAGGAGATTAATATGTTTGAGATTAGTAGAAGCAGTACTATTTGCTTAGTATTGAGATTTCTAAGAAAGCATCTTATTTCTTCAACTATATAGTTTGGAAAGCTATTATTAATAAGTGTTTGTTTTATGTTCTTTAGTTCACTGTAAAAAATCTCTTTTGTGGATGAATTAGTTTCTGCACAATGTATTAGATTCTTTATAATTGCTATTTTGTAGTAATATGGGCATTCGCTCTTGTAGTTAAGTTTACATGAATTTATGCTTGTAGGTTTTTTGTATGGCGAAATAGTAAATTTGTTATTTGTGTTTATCAATGTCAAGGAAGGGAATTTTATTATTAGTATTGAGTTCATATGTGAATTTAAGGACAGAATTATTTTAGAAATGTTTTTGAAGTTGAAGTATTTCATCTGTATTTTTAACTAACATAAGAATATCATCAACGTATCTTTTTTTAAAATCTGTAAATATCTTATTTTCGAGGTTTGACATGTAGAAATTGCTAAATGTTAGACCCAGTACTGAACCCATGGAGACACCATCACGTTGTGTGTGTATATATATATATATATATATATATATATATATATATATATATATATATATATTATTATTATGATCTAAGAAAGGGACTTCAGTAGTACAAGCTAATAGTAGTTTCCGTAATATATTAGGATTAATTTGAAGTGGGGGTAAAGATGAGTTACTGTATATATTTCTTATAATTATGTTAATAGTTTCACTAACAGGGACATTGGTAAATAAGTTTTGAAGCTATGATTTCATTGTCGGGTTTTTCACTTTTTAGGATTTGGATTACTTCTAATATTGACTTAACACTATATTTACTAGGAAGGTAGGGAGTTAATGTATTTTGTTAGATGATATACAGGAGTTGGAATTTGATAGGACAGAGAGGATAGTTAGGTTTATGTGTTTTATAGTGTCGTACATGTAACCAGGTCTATAATCACCAACAATTTTAGGGAGTTTTAAAGAGTTCTGTTCAGCATTATTAGCATTATAAGTTTATTAAGTGTTGATTTTAGTTGGTTGGTCAGGTTCTTAAGTTTTTTAAACTTTATGTGATCATGGAGTATGTGGTCAAGTTTTTTGTTGTAATCCAATTTGTTTTTTTGACAAAAATGTTGGTCTTATCAGCTTTTTTTTACGATAATGTCAGGGTGGTTGTGTAGTTCTTGTGCGGCAATTTTCAGTTGTTTAGAAAGTATTTTCGAAGAGTTTCTGCTTTTATCATGCTAATCCTTGAATGCCTTAGCCTTAAGTAATTCTTTAAATTCTGGTGTAGTTTCTATTAGTTGTTTATCCTGGAGTTTAACGATGTTTTGGTATAGGGTCTCAATTTCTATTTTTTTAAAAAGTCGATTGTACTTACGATATATATGGCAGTTAGGTCCAAGGTTAAGTAATTCTTTTTGGTGCTTAGTTCATAGTTGGAAAGGTTAATATATTTATCAGTTTTGTTTGGAAGAGTGATATTACGTTTGTATAATGTATTCAGTTTTTTTATAATTTTAAAACGGTGTTGAGCTTCAGATTTGTTGGTAATTTCCGAGAGTCTGTGTAATTTCCACCAGTTGGTCCAGGGTAGTTATATCCTGTGGTTTATTTTAAATGTCCTGTTTGTTGCTGTTGAGTGTGTTCAATTTTTCCTTGGCTATTTCATTTTGCCTTTTCACAAGGCTACATTTATAATTCCAAGCGTTGATAGTATTGTGGGCTGCTGGATCATGTAATATTTTTATATATATATATATATATATAAAGAAAGAACAATAAGATATATAATCCGGTGTTCCTGTAGATATTTTTATTTTTACAAAATAGTGCTCAATGTAAATTTACAGAGCATTAATATTATAAATTAATTGATTTAAAATATGGTTTTTCCGCTACACAGTTCTAACCATGTTTCAAAAATGGAAGGTCCGAATTTAATTTTGTAATTAAATTAAAGACATTAGTTCCATTTCATCCTCAAGCAAATTTTGGAGTAACTTTTAAAATTACTGGGTTTTAAAGACAGCAAAAATCATAATTCACGTTTCCAAGGATACAGAGAAATTCATTTCAACCAGCGAGGGGTGTTTGCGTGTTCATTATGTCTCTATTTTGATGTATCAGTTATTAGTTATGTTTTGGTAGGGGGTAGGGATGTATTCTTCAATGAAATCTGACATCCGTTAAATATATATATATATATATATATATATATGTACTTAATACAATCCCTCAGTTTAATTATGTTCTTTTAACTCCTTTACTATGAATAATTACAATTTCTGTCATTTCCATTCTTCATAGTCCCTCATATTATAAGGAAAATAAAAAAAAAAAATTTTGTTTAGTTAATTATAACCATAATGTTTAGGAAATTTTTCAACCTGCCTTGCAATATATGGTTTTAGAAACATCTGTATTTTATATCCCGTGCTTTTATTTTTTATTTAATGACATGGTCAAGTTTATTGATGATAAAAAACACACTTCTGGGGGGAAAAAATTCTTTCATTTGTAGAATTGGAGAAAGTTAAACAATAGCCAAAATCTTTGACTATTCCTGAAAGATTACTATCAATTTCCCCCACCCCACTTAAAGTTTTAAAATTGAATAGCTAGAAAGGACATTCATTTTAAAATGTAAACAAAGAATTTTAAATTTCTGTAAAACCTAGTATAATTAATAACTTTTATTACTTTTTAAAAAATTAGTTCTTCAAACTTGTTTCTTTTAAGAAAAGGTAAGTTTTTAGGTAACTGTGAAGCTTTTGTGTATGCGTGTTGTCATAGTTATTTTTGGACAATTTTGGACAGGTTTCATACCCTCAAATTTTATCATTCAAGACAAGCTTTTCACAATAAAATTGGTATTAACCAATTAATGTTGATAAAATTTTCTGAATACAATATATGATAAATATACCATGTAAATTTCAACTTAAAATCTTTTTTCATTGTAAATATTTACAAAAGATTTTATTATGCAACTCAAAGCTATTTGCCATATTTTAGCTAAATATATATTATAGGCATAGATATTTAATTTTAATTTTAGATATAACCTCAAGATACAATATATTGTAAAGTTATTGAGAGGAATTCCTATGCTGGAAATTGCAAAAAAGTTGAATGAATGAAAGAAAACAATAATAATTAAAAAAAAAAGAATATTGAAAACATTAGCAAAAAAATTAAATGTTGCAAAAAAAGATTTAAGAAAAATTAATCCACCTCTTGCTCATTACCTGTTTAACTGGCAAAAAAAAACATTTTCAAGAAGTTGGTATTGTGAACATAAATAGAAAATATGCAAAGTATTAAGAACAGACATGAAAACAGCAATTAAAACTTCATGCAAACATCATAATGAGTTTGGTCCTTTGTGGAAATGGTTAACCTGTATAACTTGAAGATAAGTGGCAGTAGTAATATTTTGGACTAGTACTGTAGGCAATAAAATTGCATAAGATTTGGTTGACTGAAATTCTAGAGGCTTTCTGTATGAAATTTTTTTTCTTGTGTATTGTGCTTTGGTTGATTTGATTATCATATTTCTTTTGTAAATTTTTGATTTTGAAATCAACCACTGCCATTCAGCTTAATATGTGCATCAAATATTAGACTAGGTCTGATTTTGTGCCTGTTTACAAGAATATAACTATGTAAGTGTATCCTGATTTTGTGCCACTGTTAAAAAATTTAAATAGCAAGGGATCTTCAATTCAGAGTAAATGTTGATTTGATCCAAATTGGGCATTTTTCTTTTACTGTTTTACTTAATTTCAATGGGTTTTACTTTTTACAGTCATAATTGCATAAATCAGCACAATAAGGGTCCAGTTTTACATTCAGTTCACACATTAAATTTATCAGCATTCATAAATTCAATCTGGCATTATATCATATAAAATGAACCCTCCCTTGAAACCCATTCCAATATTTGAAAAGGCAAAGCAAATTACATAAGAAAATGCATTTTGCTAAAAAGAAAGTTTGTTACTACAGTTAGCCAAATCTTAACCATAAAATTATAGGTCCCCCTCAAATGATAGCTCATGATAAATGCAAAGAATTATCCTAAGCTCTAGGATAAGACATTTTTTATGTAGTACAGGTCACGACCAAGAATCTTTAAGTTAAAGTGCATATTCATGCAAGATGATGTTCCTTTAAAATCTCTCTAGATATTAATCAGATAGAAAACTTGTGGCTCATCATTTAGGGAGATGTAAATAAGAATGGAAAGTAATAGTCTATCAAAGATCTTTGGAAAGTAATAAAAACTGTTGCAAGTAATGTTAAAGTTGGAAGAACAAAGGTTAACAAAATAAATGGATAAAAAACTGAATAGGATGTAGAATATTCATATCCAAAAAAGACTTCTCAGTTTGTTTATACACAATACTCTCTGAAATGTTCATTTCATTACCAAAATTTAGGCTTGGCATTTGGCCTGACAGCATTCTAAAAAGGGCCATGTGTTATTGAAAAAAAAAAAAGATGAGCAATAAATCAATGGCAAGGATGAGCAAATTTCCTTGTATAAACTTGACAGCTGCAGGCAAGAATGAACAAGATAACAAGGACAAATAAAGATAAGACAAATTTGTTCACAGTCCAGACTGTCTTGCTGCTCCTGCTATCAGAAGTTACATATTGCTGCCTCTTATATCTTTACAAATTACTACTAGAAAACTTTTCCTGCTAAAAAGTTATCAACCAGGTCTATGTAAAAGGATTGTTTCTTATGTACTTTTAAATTCTTCTATTTATTTTCATGAAATTTGTTAGTTATCAATAGTTTGTTTTGTTCTGTGAAATTGATTTTCAGCAGATAAGGAGGTTAGCACCAATCATTGGGAACCACATCTGAATTCTCAGTTGGAATTACAACAACCATTAATCAAAAACCTCATAAATTCTGATTACATGAAGATCAATAACACCACCAAGTGACATTTTTGGTAGCACTGGGACACTGATCAGTTCATAATATAAATGTCATTAATTATAGTTAATACCAATTTTATTGTGAAAACACTAACTTGAATAATCTAACATAATGTATATGATATATACACATGTAAAATTGACACTATTTAAATTGACTCGTCTTCTTGTAAAAAGTAGGGAGGATTTGATGGGTGGATAATTTTTGTAGATTAACATTTATTAGACCTTCCTCATTTGTCAGGAAAAAAAGGTTTTCTTTTTCAATTTAGAAGGCATCTGTTCATGATATCAAATCAATCTTTGTCTCTTTTTTATTTATTTATTTTTTTTCATGACAAATGTGGCTTGAAGAAGGTCTAATGTTTGTTAATTTACAAAAATTATTCTCACAAATTTTTCCCTAACCAGTCAATTTTATTGCCATGAAATTCTTTAAATTGCATAGCTTCAGCTTATACTCATAGATTTTCTCAATTTGAAATATTTTATATATTCTTTAATTTTAATTTTTCTTCAATTTCAGACTGTCCTCACAGATGTTCAAGAAGCATATGACAGAGAGCTCCTGTTTCAAGCTAATGAAGGTTTTATAATCTTAGTACAAGCTCTTATCCGGGGTTATCTCACAAGAAAAGCATTCAATGATAGGTTATTTTATATAAGGTCTCAAATTCCTGCTATAACAAAGATTCAGGTAATTGTCAACAAATTTATTTTCTTTTAAAAGTTGATTCATCATACTTGATAAACATTTAAATATTAAAATGAAGCTGTTGCTTTTCATTTGATATTCTGGGCATCTATGCAATTTACTCTGATTTTCTAAGCATTGATATAACTGCATTGTTTTCAGTGTTTTTGCAAATCAAAGCAACTATTTGATAATTTTCTTTAGTTTTTATAATAATATTGGCTTTTGTACAGTAATTATTTACTTAATGCTTTGTATGTTCTTATTAGAATCAATTAACTTACCAAACTGTTATAGGCTTAATGCAATTGCAGTTCTGTAATGTATTGAAGTATTAGCAATAAGATTTAAGTATGCCAACTTAAAATTTAGTAATGCATTCAAAACAGCTTCATAAAAACAGTGATAATTAGGTATTTTTTTATATAAAAATTGTATACAATTAGGCAGAACATTTAAATGATGTAATTTTGATATTCCTTGAATAAACAAAGTTTGATACAAGACAAAATTTATGAAATAACTAGTAAAGTCATGCAATATGTTCATGAGCTATTCAGTTTTTAATTGAATTTTAAACAGTTTATTTACAATTTTGCTTTACATGATTTGGGAAAATATCAATGTTGTATTTGAATATTACTAAAACTCTGTCATTACTGTAGATTTTCAATTGCATAAATGGCATCTGCCCCAATTTCAGCATCAGAGTACTGCTAAGAATCGCTCCAATTTTCCTAAATTTGAAGATTCAATTCAGTTCTTGTATTTGATAGGCATTTTGGAAAGGTACTCATCAACGTAAGCTTTACAATGACAGGAGACAGTATCTTAAAGATAACACTGAAGCTATTATCAAGGTAATAATACTCTTTTCATTGTACTAAAAATTATTTTCATATTTATGCTTGAATAAAAGCCGTGTCCATTAAATTTATGATTTAAACTTTGTGATTGTAGGTAATTGCTATTTGACTAACAAATCATGGGTGGTTTTAACATTTTGATGTCTACTGGCATCATTCTGTGAATATGACTAGAAGTCAATTTTCTCTCATTTGTAATGAGGATGAAGCAAATAAACATTGAATTATTAACTCCTCAATGATTCTCATTCAAATATTGATTACTTACAAGTATGTTTTTCAGTTAATTTTAATTCTTCATAATTTTAATGAAGAATGATTTTGTTTTACTCATTAATTTTGTTACATATTGGCAATTTCATAAAATATTAATGCTATTTAGTCATTTTTAGAATCTCTATCAAAGAGTTTAAACATGATCTAGAAAAAAATACCTCATTACTTAACCTTATTAAATACATTTTTGATTTATTTAAAAAAATCTACTGCATAGGTATTATCAGTTATTTGTTTTCACATGTAAATTCTACAAACATGGAGAATTGTAAAGGTTTTTATAATGTCATGTGTACCTAGCACAGCTGTTTAAAACCCTTGTTTTTGTCATATAGGAAAATCCAACATGGCGCGTAAACGAAATATGCGGCAAAAAATCTCATTCGTCAGTAACATTTTAAACACCTCATAGAATGTAAAGTTCTTAAAGAAAACCTATGTCAAAGTGTTTTCCTGAATCCTTGATGACTTGGCTGTCCGAAAATGATAATATCAAGATGAAATAATGGAAACTGACCGTGAAAAATACAATTATGCGCAACAGGTTTTCGATCAATTAGTAAACTTCTGGACCTTTTAGGGCGACCTTATAGGATCCAGACGGCTATTTTTTGCACATGGAATTATTCACTGGTAATTAATCTTCGATTTGGCTGTGGAAAATGTCACTCGGCGGTTAGCATTAAGAAATTATGCACAATTTTCTGAGAAAAATCACCTTTTTTTAATGAAAAAATATTCATTTTCGCTTCAAAATAACATCATTCAAAATTCATTCCTTTCTCTTTCATTTGGCATGAACATCATTGAATAAAAAGAAAGGCTAAATGGACCGGCGATGGGAAATACAAAAAGATATGCGGCGAAAAAAAAAATGTTGTCTGCTAAGTGTTGTTGTCATCACCGGGTCACGGGGTGTTAAAACAAAACAAAACTTATCAAGCCATTGTTCAAACATAGGTTATATGAAGCCCTAGTAATTGTGAACCCTTTTTTTCACCCTTTGCTTTTATCTGGGAGTGGTGGGTTTTTATTACAACTTGTTCTAAGGTTTGCCGTCCGTTTATTGCTAGCTGGCTGGCTGGCTGGCTGACTGGCCTTTGACCTAGACGTCAAAGTCAATTAGGTTTATTTTCCCTTATCACTATTTTTTTTAAAAAAAAAAAAAAAAAAAACTTTTGGTTTCTGGTGGTTAGGAATTGCAGATAAATCTCTTGCCTTTTACTAAAGATTTCCGTGGCCAGGTGTCAATTTTTTTAACCCTTGGCAGTCATAATTGAAAATTAACAATGGATTTTGTCGCATTTTTTGAACCCCTAGGAATGTTGATTTCCTTCAAAACTCTCAATTTTATGCCTGAAATAGTTTGATTATGATCTAGGCTTTCTGATTTTCAAAAAAAAAAAAAAATGGTTAATTTCCCATTAATGGGGGAAATATTTGTTTAGAACAAGAAAAAAATGCAAAATTTTCACTATTTTTTCACATTTTACCCACTGAAAAAATTTTTGAGTCATTTACACCAGCTAATTTTACTTTTAAATGAAAGAATATATCTTTTGCTTTCAGAAAATACCTAGTTTCATGGGGTTCAGATCAAAAGTTTCCTTGATATTAGTTTAGGTGATGATAAAACAGTCATTTTCAATATTTTACCCCTAAAAAGTATGAAAACCCATATTTTGAGAGAAAATAAGCTGTGACAAAATGACTTTTGCTATTTTTGTGATGATTTTCACTTGGGAAAGAAAATTTTTACCATAGGAAACCTGAATTAACTTTATTTAAGTTCAGTGGGTCTGTAGGAAACCTCAAACAGCTGTGCTAGATACATTTTTTAGCAAGATTTTCATTGAATTACCTTAGTATAAATCTTTTCATAAGAATCAAATACCATCATAAATTCAGTTAATTTGATAATGAAATAATTTGTCCTGATTTCTGCATTCAATGTATTTTGAGTATTATTAAGTCTTTAGTTGACTTTTTAGTTGGGTAGCTAGTCAGTGCCATCTGTTCTGTCAATGAAAATTCATGATTCACTGGTAACTAATTATAACACCAAGTTTCATTTGATATTTATGATTACAATCTGGTATTGGATGAAATATTAATTTTACTAATAAAAAAGACTATTTTCAACATAACTTTACTTTTCTTTATTCTTCTGTCACCTATCAAGCAAAATTATAATTCCTTTCTCTTGAATTTTTTTTTTAGTTAAGAGAATTCTGTAAAAAAAAAAGTTAATTAGGAATGTCTTGCGAATATAACAGCCAATCTGTAAATGTTCCCTTTGTCAACAAAGAAACATACAGTTTAACATTATTTTTATAGATGATGTCCTTTCTGTTAATTAATTCTGGGTACTTTTAGTTAATTACTGTCAATTGGTCTAATTGGAAGAAACATTTATTCAAATCAACCATTTGGTTCTTCAGAATGAGCTTATAGAGTAATAGCTTCCAATTTTATTATATACAGATAGCATCACCTTCCTTAGTTGTTTTTTTGGGGTTTTTTTTTTTTCATATACCTCGTAGTCTCATGTTATATCTTGTAAAGTATCCACTCAATTTTCATTATATAGAAGCCAGACATTAAAGCAACTAACCTAACCAAACTGATGCAAATAATTTTCAGCATTTGATTAGGATATTTTCATTATGTTGGTTATCTCCTGTCTCTCAAGTGGTTTACTTGATTATTAGGGAGCATTGTTCAGTAAGAAATCTCAAATGAAACTTTGCAAACTGCTCTTGATATGTTTGATTATTCACAATACCTTCTTTATAAGATGTACAAAGTTTTTGATCTTTTTAATTTTTCCTTAAAACAAAAATAATCATAATTTGCCAAAGATGTTGCTTATTTTCCATCTTCAATGTTAAAATCAATAAATAAAAATGTATCAATTTTAATAAATTTTGGTTGTACTGTGACAGCTTGTTATATTGGTATACAGTAAAAAATAAATTATGTTTAGGAATAAAACTAATACTATCTAAAAACAGAAACTTTTTGGCCAACTATATGCTTTTTGCAAATGTTTTCTGTAAGGTTGTTGAGCATATTTATTGTCTTGTGACTATGTAAAATACTTATTCTTCTCATTTGATATTTGTTCTTATAACTTATCCAATGTCTGCTTTAGTTTCTACATCCTGAGTGGTGTTCATTATTATTTAACCAAATTTAATTGTATTTAATAACTTTGAGATTCATGCAATAGCAGTTTTCACTGCTGGAGTTCATAAAACAGAAACAATTTTTGTTAGAAAAAAATTCTTTTTCAATAAATATCCACACTTTTGGTATTCTATAAGTCCTTTTTTAATTTTATTTATCATTTTTTGCAAGGCTGTTAGAACATTTTGCGAATGTCAATTTGTGTTGGTTTCTAGTTTGCTGTATTTATAATTCAAAAAGAAAAAAAAGTTTAAGGTATGTGCAGACTCTATTTTATCACAAAAAGCTTGCAGGGTTTTAATATATAACATTAATGCATCCAGACATAGGTATGAAAGAAATTTTGTATAATCAGAAGTAAATATTGTTTATTTAAAATCTACATTTGTTTAATGCACAAGTTTTTAAATTGAAATATAATCTTATTCAGAGTCAACATTTTTATAAAAAATACTTAAAGAACATTATTGCTATTTAGCAATATTATATGTATTATGTTTCCTTTTGTATTAAGATGATTTTTTGACTTAATTTTTTTGTTTCAATTTACTTTTTCAGTTGCAAGGGATGACCAGGATGCATTTGGCTAGAAAGCAATACAGAAATAGGCTTAAATATTTTAGAGATAATGTAAGAGACTGTTTTCTGCTTTCCCACCTCCACTTGAATATCATTGTTAAAATAACTGAATATTTTAAGTTTCTCAATCCTTCTTACCTTATAGGTAATTTATACATTTTATGATTTTTTAATAATTTGAATTATATATATTTTTTTTAATAGATAAATGCCATTGTAAAAATTCAAGCATTTGTCAGATCCAATCTTGCAAGACATGATTACAAATCTTTAGGTAAGTATAAGATGATATATTGAACTACTTGAAAGATCTAAACTCCCTCATCCATCCATACTCTTTCTTTTATCACACTTTCATTTCTTCATATCTCTTGTGTTACTGCTCATTTTTTTTGCCTTTGGCTCCACTGTATCTTTGCTTTCAGTTTAGTAGTAGGAAAAATTTTACTACTAGACCTGTTGTATGTGAAAGAGAATATTCACACATGCTTCTTGATTCTACTCAGCTTTTCTAGGTTTTAGATTGTGAACCTATCATCCTCATTAGGTCATCAACTTCATCCTACATGAATGTTGTTCAACATAGTGGAATTACATGGAGTGATACTTTTCTCCAGTTGTGAAGCAGTTCCATTGCATTTCTTTGGACGACTTGCATAGTAAGGTTCACATATATCCAAAAGAGATTGTATTCAATGCATTTGTTTGACCGTCTGTTCAGTCCCTCTTTGGGATCAGTGTTGACTGGTATTACCTGCTGTTTGTTTTATTTTGTCCAAAACTGATTTACTTCTTTTTTTTTTTTTACTTTTTTTGCCACATGGATTTATTTTGGCAAGATAGCAACTAAAATAGATGAGAAAGGGTATGAGTTTTTTAGATTTTCTTTGAGTCTTGATGTCAGACACAGCTGAAATAATGAAATCCAGCAACAGAAGTTTACTTGGTACATCGTTAATAACTGCTTGAGTCTCTAAGTAATGCTCATTATATTAAGTTTTCAAACATAAATTTTGTGAATCCTTTCGGTTGATTTTAATTCCAGAATTTATACTGGATTGGAGTCAGAAAAATTTTGTTGCCTGGAATTGGAGTTGATATGTTTTTATCGACTTCAGCTCTGTAAATTGTAACATTACAAGTTGAAAATCTTCCCAATACATAGGTTTTAAAGTTACTTCAAGTGGAAGGCCTGGAGAACTTTGAAAAATTAACATCTCAAAACAAAAATTTCTGAGAATACTGAATTCTTATGAATTGAAGGCAGAAAGAATTATTTGCAATATTTTGTGTTACCTCTAGTTATATGGATGTGAATAGTACTTAAAACTGTAAACATAGTATTAAAGGTTTAAGAAAGTGGAATTTTATTAAAATGTTTAATTAAATAACATCCCTCATAACAAAAATTAAAATGTTTTTTCTTTAATATTAATTGTAAAAATAATTAATTTGTAAAAACAAAGGGAGAAATCTAAACATTTTCCCTATTATAGTATGCAAACATTTACAAATAGCAACTCTTGCTATCACGCATACATTCATATGCACTAATAAAAAAAAACAATGGAACAAGTTTATTTCAAATTATTTTTCATGCCTGACTTTTTTATAAATTTATGTAAGGCTAAATTCTGTCTTTTGTATCCTTATCTTACATCAGTAGAAGAGCCTAGACCAGCCTGAACTACCAACAAATGAAGGATTTGCTCTCTGCCTTTTATGTTTTGCTAACAAATGGCCTTTACAATATAAGTAGTAACATTTAATTTGCATAACAATTTTTAAAAGCATATTTTAATATTTCATTTTTATTATTTTTAATTCAAGTTTTAAAAATTGCTATATATAAGCAATGTTTCTGTCAATTTTGACAAGGCAGATAAATTCTTTCAATGAATTAAAAAAAATTAAGTCATAAGCTAGAAAACCTATAGTGTTCATAATAAGCATTGTTGTCATTTGATATTTCACATTGTAACAAATTAATTGAATGAAGCCAAAATAATTAATGAAATCATCTAAAGTCAAAATGATCTTATCTAATTAGATGTTCTTAAAACTGCACCAAATTATTTAAACTAGTGAAAAAAATAGTAAGTTTGCTGAATTAATTTTTATAGAAATAATTTAATACTAACATTAGAAAATTATTCAAATGCTTCTCTCAGGATCAGCTGCACATAGCTATATCTTGAGTATGTAATTTATGTGGACTTAGCATAATGGCAAAAGGAATTTTAGGAAATAGATGTCTTGCTAAAAATGTTGTTTATACAGATATTTTAGAGAGGTAGAACTTCTGACAACTTTTCTCTGTTCATAGAATGGGTATTTAGTTCACTTAAATTTTATTTCCAAAATAATTTAATTATGGAAAGAAAGAGTTACTTTGTATCTAATTGCACTTGTTTCATTTTAAATAGTTATTTAACTTGCTTTGAGAATTCCAAAACATTCAAAATGGTAAAGAAAAAATATTCCTGATTTATCTTTTTATAAAAATCAAGACTTAAATTTTTTCCATTTTGTCTTATGTTCAAAGTCCCTTAATTGCAATATCCAAAATTGGATGGGAAGCAAGATAGCTGAGTTGTAGCAGCAGTACAAGTAGCTGAGAGAGAAAGAGAGGTGAGGAAAAAAAACCTCACTTCAGCTCCAGTGAAAACTATAGGAGGGTGTGAAAGTCAAGGCAGGAGAAAGTGAAAGAATGCAGGGTGAGAGAGAAATAGAAATAGATCCACATATTTTTTGTGTTTCTAAACTGGCTAAAAGAAATTAAATTACTTTCATTGTTTAAGAACACTTCTCTGCACACCCATATTGTATGAATATACATTTTACAAGCCAAATGTCCTAGGAATAGAAAGAATTGAATAGTAGTGTGTTTACTAATCTAGAAGCTAAATGTACAATTTGTACTAATTTTTCTACAATCTTTTTTTGGTGGGGGATTTTATTTTATAATTTGTTTTTAAATGTGTATAGCATTTTTAGCTATAAAATTAGCTAAAAGTTAGGAAAAAGAATTAGCCAATTTTAGCCTCTTTTTTATTTCTTATAAATCTTTAAGTCTTTGAACAATTATAACAATTTTAAGAGTATCTGAAATATATATATATATATATATATATATACACACACACACACACACACACACTGTGGACATTGACCAATCCTAATATTTTCTGAGCTATTTTTCTTGCTGCTTAATTATCATTGCCAATTCTACCAAGCTATTGTCCTGTGGGAAAATTCTGTTCTAATTTGTTATCTTAAATCCTCTTTATTTTCACATAACTGTTAGTTAATTTAAGTGCTTGAACTTGTAACTGTTAATAGAAATTTGCTTCCTTTCCTTTATCTAACCATTTGGTTTAATTTGTCATGTATGTTCAATAAGAAAGGTTTTGAAAATTACATTAGTAAAATGGGTAAAATATATGAACATCAAACTTTATACTTGCAAAAATAGCTTGTATCAAAGCTTTCTATGTTTTATATATTGCAAATGAATTCATTATATAAATTTAATGTAATTAGATTTGGTGACATTTATTTTTCAAGGGATTACTTGAAGAATGAAATATTTTACAGAATTTACTTCTTTTGGTATGTGTATATAGATATGAACAATAAATTAATGTACAGATTTTAATAAGTTTTCCTCTTAATTTGAAATGATTTGGAAATTTTCACATGAGAAAGAAACAAGGCATCTCTTGGAAATTTTGTAAAACTTGGTATTTGTGATTTTATGAGAAAACAGCTGAAATAGATATTTACAAACATTTTGATGCATAAGTTGTTGATCTATTTACTTTTTCATAGCTCATTTGCATTGTCTTCTATATTTAATTGATATTGCATAACTTATATAAACTTATAGGGAAAAAAATATATTCAAATTCTTAGAATTTTATTTGAAGATTTACCAAATAAATATCATTTTTTTTCCTAGTTAATATGGTTTCCTTTCCCTTTCATTTAGTTAATGATGATAATCCACCATTGTCAGTTGTCCGCAAATTTGTCCCTCTTCTTGATGCCAGTGATGCTGACTATGCAGAGGAGCTGGGTAAGTGAATGGCAAAAATATGAAAAATTTGTTTTAATTTATATAAATTTTTAAAAAATTGTTTGCTTTATCCAATTTAAGAAAAATTCTTTTTTATTATTATTTTTAGAATTACAGAAACTACGACAACAGGTAGTGTCAGATATTCGTTCCAATCAACAACTGGAACATGATCTTGATCAAATGGATATTAAAATTGGTTTGCTGATTAAGAATCGAATCACACTACAGGTTGGTGGAAACTTATAAATTGTAGTCTGAATATGTAAAATATATTTCTCTCACTTCAGAGGTGCTGAAAAGTTCTTAGCATAGCCAATTCCTAAATTATAACCAAATAGAATTTCAGTTTTTTTTTTTTTTTTTTTTTTTTTATAAATCTTTTTGGCTGAAGAACTTTTCAACACTGATTAAAAATAATCCAGGTTACATGGTATGAGACTTTAGAAATACTCCACATATTTCATTGTAAGGCATTTGAAAACATCTGAGTACATAAATTGTTATAATGTTTGAGTGTCTCACAATTTAATGGAAAAATATGATGGGCTGCATTTCTAACTGCACATCTATGCTCAAATGCAATAAAAATAAGCTATTTTTAAAAAATCAATCACCAAGAATGAAAAATAGATTGTTTACAACAATGTGTAACAAACAAGATTCTAGGGCAAATAAAATGAGCCATCGTTAACCCCTCCAAAGTTCAGTCTGCATCCAAAGGTGATTCTGTTATAACAGGCACTGGCCCTGTTTAAACTTTTAAATGCATGAAATTTGTGATGGTGATTTGGGGAGACTACTAATTGGATGATAATTGTTGAAATTCTCAAGAAAGTGGGTTGAATAGTGGAGAAGAAAATTAAAAACAGAATGTGTTAAAAATTGTTTTAAAATAATAAAATTAAGATTAGTTTCATGGAGAATTGAACCCAAAATCCTCTCCAATTTCCTGCTGATAAGAATGAGATGATTAATATATCATCCATGTTGTGGGGTCCTAATAGAATAAAGCACAGATGCTACAATAACTTATCAGTAGAGAAAATGAGTGGTCACTGAAAATAATGATCTAAATTATTCTGGACAATGAATCAGGGAACATCTGGTTTATGTAGAAAGATTGTGTTGACCACACAAAAAATATCCTTACAAAAAATTAACAATATACAAGGGAAATACCATAACATCTAAAATTTGAGACAGGTCTCTTTATTTTCCTTTCTGCAACATTTGTCTAAAATTTTTATAGCTGACATTATTTTGGATTTTTACTAAGACAATATTAGGAAAACTGAAACCACGTCCACTCCTAATCCCCACAAAACTGAGACCATCAAGAAGCCAAAACCGCAAAAAATTACAACAAAACAAAATAGTGCAAAACAAAAAAAAAATGTCTAATAGACCAAAAAGATTTCCAGTTTGACTACCCTCTCTACTAAAGGATCTTCTTTGTCAATGACTCAAAGAAAAATCCTCAAGGAGGCAAGAATCACCTAACACAAGTAAAAACATTTTGGAGAATAAGTTTCCAAATTTTTTTCAGCAGACACTCTTGTAGTGGATTCATTATGTTTTGCTATAAATTTATCTGCATAATCAAGTATAGCATAAATGAACTCTGCTATTTGGCGAGATGGAACCATAAGACCTCTTCAAGAAAAGTAAGTACTACTTCTCTGTAGCATAATCACTATCATTGCCTACTATGACCAGGGAACATATTTCACATTGAAAATGTTTAATTAAATTATTTTAATTTTCTCTAATAAAGAAAAAGATGTTAATGGAAATTTCTCCAGAAGTAATTTATAGGCTGGTTGAGACATATAGCACAGTAGTGAGGCATAATGTATTAGTTATACTGAAAATTAAGGACAACCTCTTGGTTGGTAATGTTGTCTTTTTTTGTAATTCTTTTAGAATTGAGTGTGTTGAAATGTGTCTCTCTCCTACTGTCGTAGTGACGGGCACAGTCTCCACTTCTGAGACGAGCTGCCCTACTTCTCATTCCAGCCCTGCCCACCTCCACTCGCTTTGGGGGTGTCAGGCTTACCGACCAACTCATTACACGCCCCTTAAGATCACAAAGCTCCTCAGCTCAAGAGATGGTCACATCTGTCTGGTGACTGCATCCGCATATACACAACTTGCACGCTTGACACATTGGGATGACCACACATGCACAAACTCAGTTGCTCCGAGGTGGCAGATTTCCAGATTCATCCTGTGTCTCGCTGTCATGGTCGCACACCGTGCAACTCGGGGCAGGCCTCTTCTGCCGGGCACTCCTGAACGGGATGACAGGGTCCTCATCCTCGGATGAACTCTCATCCGTTGAGCTGCCATCCGACTTTAAATACACCACTTCTGCACCATCTTCAGAGTCACTTTCATCATCTGATGACAGTTTTAACCCTACAACTGGCCGCAAGTCTTTAACATGATGAGGCACGCCATTGACCTGCACTGACTGCAGGCTGATAATCTCGGTAACATGCTGCATTCTAAGCTTGTCTGTACACTTGCTGTGCAGGGTCTTGATCCACACTACGTTACCAATTCTATATTTTGCTTGTGCGTCGCTCGGAGCCATTGCAATGTCAATGCCTCGCAGCCGTAAGTGATAGGCGTGCACCATGTTAGCCGGTGCTGTTGTAGGTGAAACACCGTCTTTAGGTGTTGCATTATACCAATCGCTTCCTGGCTGCAATCACTTTTATAGACCGGTGGCTCCTTTCTACTATGCCATCACACGTAGACACACCCCACTTGCCTTTGACTGCTGGGTCGACCATCTTCAAGAAGTAGAGCGTCCGTCTAATCCCAGGATGCCCACACTGTTCATGTATGCTCATGATCTGCTCGAAGTCCATACTGAACGCAGAAGCCATACACAGCAGCTGCAGAGGTTCAGACTCTTTCTGAGCAGCAGTCAACCAACGTTGTGGAACACGAGTCATTGCATCTGCTCTGTTGACTGCCGATTTAACTAACACTACATCCACAGGCAGATTGTACTCTTTGATAGTTTCAGTCAGCATGGCGAGCTGCCTTCATATCAACATCTCGCTCGATGCTTGGTGGTCAGTCACGCTCTTCCGGTAAGTGCATCTGATATTCAACACTGAGTGCATGCTGAGTCCGTGACGATGTGTAGCACTGTTGCTTGCCATTGGAGTGCCTGGTTAACCCCCTTCAGAATGGCATCTAGTTCGGCCAGGTTTATGTGTCATGCATCATTTTCAGGTCGTAACCAGCAGGAGTCTTCTATGATCTACCCGTTATCCTCAAGGGCGACACCCATGACCAACGAGCTGGCATCCACTCAAACGGTGAGCTCGTTCCCCTTAACGCACCAGTCACATCACACAGGATCATCTTGCATCACTCTCTCCATAGTTTGTTATCATGCATCTTAGGGTAACATCGTGCACCTCGTCGTCCCATCCTGACGAAACAGAAGTCACATGATGCTTTATGGCTCCTGCCGCCACTTTGAGCCAACTGCATACGGGAAAATGGCCTACCAGTTTCCCACACATGGAGAAGGTACTTAGACGACTGATCACTGGTGGGACTTCCAGGACGTCACTGCCTCGCCTCCAGCGAAGTTTTTCTCCATCACTACTGATGTGCAGTCAGAGTACATTCGCTCCATCCTGCAGCGGCTCTGGGGCCTTGCACACCAAGCCAAAGCGTTCTAGATGTTTTCTAACCCTCATTGAAGAGGCCATGTTTTCATTGACGTAGACATCGTCAATGTAGGATGATGTTGCCCTTTGAATTTCCTCATCCTGCGACATGACCACATTAATAATCACTGACGTGATTTTTGGGGCCACATTAAGACCAAATCCCAATCGAGTGAGACAATATCTCCGTCCTTTTAACATGACAGTCTGAAAGGGCCAGAGTGATCAGTGGACTCTGACTTGGAGGTAGGCCCTTCTTAAATTAAGAGTGGCCACGTTGCTCCCTTGTCGTCGCTATTCCCACAATTTCTGGGCACAAACGTCCACATTGGCCATCTACGCATCTACAAAGTTATTCAATTCCCTGTAGTTCATGACTGGTCTCACTTTCCCTTTATTCTCTTGCACTAATGCCATCAACGGAATCAGTCCTCGAGGCAGCCCTAGCTCCTCCCCGGGGTACAGCACGGGCATTTGGCCGGCCGCCTACTTCCACGTTGCGGTCCATACGTGCCTGCGCTGGTCGAAAGTTGCACTGAAGTCAAGTTTGCAATGGAGGCTCTGAGGGGCACGTTCTCAGCAGCAAAATTCACCTCACCTGACCCACTTATATGGAATCCTCCCAGTTTTGCAATCACGTCGACTCCTAGCAGGAGGTCAAACCCTGGCAAGGTTTGGTGTACAATCAATACCTCCATGGTTACTCGGTGTATGTTGTTGATTTTCAGCTTCACTGTTTCGACATCTAGGCTGGTAAGGGTTTTTCCGTTGGCAGTTACAATCTGTGCCTCTTTAGGTCTCCACGAGTGACACGCCGACTTGCACATTAGTGTCTTTGAACACCCCGGAGTCTACCAGGGCCATGCATCTCCGTCCATCAACGAGCAGTTTAATCACAGTTAACGCTTCAATGTTGCACTTGCCTGGCGAGAAGACTGGCGCTGGTGTCTTTTCTCCTGACTCGTTTCCAGGGCACTCTGATGCAAAGTGACCCATCTTTTGGCATCTGAAGTGCTGTCACCTTCGGTGCAATCGTCGTACCTGGTTGTCTGTCCTCATTGCATGTCCCTGGTTGCAGCTATTATTTAGGTCGTTGGGGTTGCCGCACAGACAACACACTAAGTTTCTCCCGTTCTGGTCAGCAATTACTTCCATGGCATCTGCACGTGGCCGTGGCCGCTGCGATAATTTTGTTTACAGGTCTATGGTCCTCATCCAGGATGACTCTAGCTCTCACACAGAGCCGGTCTAATGTCAGTGTCCATTCGCACCAACGCCCAAAGCTGCTGTCTGACATGCTGTGGCAACCCCGCAGGCTATCTATCTTTCGGGTGGTCTTTCTCCAAGCTGGTGAGCCAGTCTTTCAAGTGCCACCAGGAATTCATTGACTCTCTCCATAACGAAGTCGACGCGTCGCAAACTGTACAAATGCATCTACGGCAAACACAGTGGTGAGTGTGATTTCCTCGATATCAGCTCTTTGCTGAGTTGCCAATACACAGCGCGAGCCCCACCAGTCAACCGCAATGGGAGAATGTGCACGGCCCTTTCTTCAGCTCACTGATCATCTCTACTCGCTCAAGCCATTCTATAATTGGTTCATCTGACGCGGCCCCTCCAAACTTAGGAATCAACCGCAGGTCGAAAGGCCTCCTTGCCATTGCTGCCCGGATTCAGATAAAGTGTGTCAACATCTGAGGTTTACCAAAATAGCTTGTACTGAAATGTGTCACAAAAGGAAAAAAAATTTTGTCTCTCTCCTACTGTCGTAGCTACGGGCACAGTCTCCACTTCTGAGACAAACTGCCTTCCTTCTCATTCCAGCCCTTTACATAGAGCTTGGTAACTCACCCATGCAAAACACCAACAAGCCAGCTACCAATCACAGTTTCCGCGCCTGCCCACCTCCACTCGCTTTGGGGGTGTCAAGTTGACCGACCAACTCATTACATTGAGTATGGTTGTTCTTCCACCATGTATAGTATGTAGTTTGGAAAATTTTATAACATGCTAAATCTTGTGAGTTTAGCATTATGTCCATGTATAAACCACTGTGGTAATGGTATAGGGGTTCCATTGCACTGGAGGTTTTGGTAAATGCAAATACATTCTTTTATAGATCGAAAATGTGTTTCAGGGTCAAAGACTATTCTATAGATTAGAATATAATTTTCCTGTTTTTTAATTCAAAACTTAAGAAAACACTTTGCTTCTTCCAATTAAATAAAATCCTTTGTCATATCAGCTGAAATCAAATCATGTAATTCATTAGTTTGGACCAGTTATTGTTTTGGAGGCTTTCTGAATTCTCTTGTATTTGGCAAAAAGAGAGGGTTTTCTTATTTTTTCTGATTCTATTGTAGGTATTGAATCTAAATCCCAATTCAGTTTGTTTTGTTTTCCTTTGAAAATAAATTTCTCTTCAAAATGTTTCGTACAGAGAATTGAATTTTTTATAGGAAACTAATCAATACGATTAACAAATTTTATCCATTTTCCTACAAAGTCAGATTTTCCAAGAAGAAAAGAAAATGTCGATATTTTTTTCACTGTTAGTAACATATCCACTAGAACACCTAAATGCAACACATTTTTTAACCATTTTTTTTAAACAAAATATCATAACAAAGTTTATAATTTAATCTTTAAATACAATAGATTATGAGGTAGAAAATTTGCCTAATAGCATTCATTTGCAAAACAGGCCATATATGCAATTGAAAATCATAAAAGCAAGGTAGCTCACAGCCATTTATAGTTCATGGTTTAGTGTAAAAAAAAAAAAAAAAGTGTATCTATGCATTTTAGTGTTGAAAACATGTAAAGGGAATTGAAATAATATCTGATAAATTCTACATAATTGTACATTGTTAATTTACATTCCAAGAATTCAATTTTTAAAGTTACCTCTCTTTTAGATTAGCAATTTTCTAAGTGGGCATTCACTTTTTTTTTTGTTTATATATTGGCCTGTTAGAATTCAACTTATGTGAAATGTGAGGCCATAGTTGTATTTTACAGATAACCTTATTAATTTTATTGGCAAGTTGTAACGTTTAATATGAGCGATAGCTGAAAAGTAATGAACAGATAAGCATAAATAATCTGGAAAGCTGTAAGCAAAAAGCAATAGCAAGAACAGCCTTATATTTAGTGCAAGCAAATGTGATGCTGCAACAAATTTATCAATCAATGAGAAAAAAAAAAAAAGATAACAGCAGTGTTCTGGAGTGCCAAATATGGGCTTCAAACTGCATGGACAGACAATGCAGTCAGATACTGTGAAAAGCTCAACAGACTGAGGAGAAACTGAAATCCAACACATAACCACTATGACTAAAGAGTTGCTCTCCCACAATATGTTTGGGATGTTCATACTGCACTTACCACATAATCCTGATCTAGCTCCTCCAATATTTGTTTGAGTACCTCATATGACCTTTACTCAAGAAGTAATTAGATACCTCCTGCTACAGAATTAAGAGTGACTCCAGTTTCTTGACACCATCTCCTTTGAGGGGATTTATGCATTTGTGCACTGACAGGATAATTGCATCAATCTACATTTCTAACATGATTATAGGTTTATAAAAAACAAAAAATATATTAGAGCACTTGATCAATGTGTCCAGTTAGAAAATATTGGGCAAGAAATGAATAGGCTAATTATTAACACTCAATAAATATTAATACAATAAAGTGGCTCTAGACATTTCTAAATCATTTGATAGGGTTTGGCATGCTGGCCTTCTTCGTAAGCTTCAATGGTAGAGTATTACAGGACAATTATTTGACTTAATACAATCATTCCTGTCAAACCATGAAATGAAGGTCATCCTAAACAAGTTCTCCTCTGGCTCCTTTATCATGAACGCTGGTGTCCCCAAGGCTCTATCTTGGGCCTTACACTGTTCCTGATCTTCATCAATGGCCTTCTTGATGTCATCAGTTCGCAAGTCCACATCAACATGGACAACACTACTATTTGCTCCTGCTTCAATAGTAAATCTAGTATCATTGACAAAAATAACCTGGCTGCTGATCTTGAAAAGGACCTTCAATCTGTGGTTGACTGGGCAGGAAATGGCTTGTAAACTTTAATGCCTCCAAAACAAATCTTCTCTCTTTTACCTACCACAGAGAACCCGCCCTGCCTCCCATCAGAATGGCTGACCCCCAACTCCGCGAGAACGCCTTGTTACACTTGCTTGGTCTCACGCTGTCCACTGACATGAGGTGAAATAAATACATTGAATCAATAGCTTCATTTACTGCAAGGAACGTTGGTCCTGTGTTGTGCCAGAAAGTTTTTCTCGCCTGAGTCCATCCTTCAAATCTATAAATCAACCATCCGTCCTTGTATGGAATATTGCTGTCATATATGGTCTAGTGCTCCCACCGTACATCTCAAGGGCCTTGACAAAATCCAGAAATGAATATGCACGTTGGTAGATCCTGATCTGGCATCTAGTCTACAATCGCTATCCCACAGACATGCCATGGCCTCCCTCTGTCTCTTCTACAAGTATTTTTATGGCAACTGTTCCAATGAGCTACATTTGGTGATTCCCAGACTGCATGAATTTAAGCGAGCTACCAGGCTGGCATCTCAGTCCCACCCTTTTCACTTTAAATGTAACTTTCTACTCAAACGGCTTCTTCTCTTGCACTTCCTGTCTGGGGAACTTCCTAACCCTTACTTGCTTCCCCGATGACTATAATCTTCAAATATTCAAGTGTAATGTCAATCAACATCTGACATCCTGAGCTTGTTCCCTGTCCTTCTCTGTATCCTTTCCCCAAACATGCCTCTTTACTCTTGTTTTCAATACTCTGTAACTCCTTGCATGCTAGTGGCACTCCTGCTTTGCTTGGGGTGAATTGCTTTAAAAAAAAAAAAAAGAAAATGTGAGAAATAAATGGGAAAATAATGGGGATTTCATAAGCAATGGACACAGGGTCATATATGCAGACAGTTAACCTGAAAGGGAAGCCATTTAACATATCCATTGTAGTTCTACATGCACAAAGCATGGAAGAAGAAAATGAAGTTTTACTGCACACTTGACAATGTTAAAGTAGGAAAGGAGCAAGATGGTGAAATAGTTTGCAAATTCAAGCTAGGAACCCATAACAAACATGGGAAGAATAAAAAATGGTTAAAATGGTGCACAGCCAACACCTGGCATCAAGAACATCCAAGATGCTTATGGACATAGAGAAGCTCAAGAGGAGAAATAAAAACCAGATTGACTATATAACAATCAATAAGATATTTAAGAATGTAGTTTTACAGTGTAAAAGATATATCCAAGTGCCAACTGTGGGAGTGATCACATATTTAATCTCCAAATAAAGCTATGGAAATTAAAGAAATCCAAAGCAACATGACAGAATGACCTAACTTGCAAAGAGATGTATACTAACATCATTCAAAACAAATACTGGATGAGAATAGAAATTTGAAGAAAACTAGACAAGTTAAAAAAAAAAAAAAAGAGTGGACAACATAGGAAATTCTTCTGATTGATCCTGAGAAAACTGGAAATTCTAGCATGATTTATTGGTGGACACAATCTTATAAACATAAGATATGCAGATGACATACTGTTAATAGCAGAAACAGAAAGGAAACTGCAGAAAGTGTAAACTATCAATTGTAAGAAGACAATGTATAGTTGTCAGCAAGAGAAACAGTCCAAGATGCAAACTATGAATTGGAGATGTTGAAAACTAGCAAGCAAGAAGTTAAATATCCGAGAAGTATTCTAACAAAGGATGGAACATGTAACACTGAAATCTGGAGGTGCATTGGAATAGTGAAAGATACCTTCCAAAAGATAAGCAAAATATTATGAAATAAGAAAATTTTGTTAGAAACAAAGAAAAGTGCACTAAACTATCATCTAATATCAGTCCTCCTATATAGCAGCAAATGCTGGGCAGCTGAAGACTTGAGGCAACAGGAATGTAGTTCTACAGAAGGTTGTTAAGGATCCCATGAACTGAACATGTAAGTTTTAGGGAAAATGGAAGTAAAAAGGATCCTTATACTTAGAAAGAGACAGTTGAAATTTTTAGGGCACATAAAAGGAGATTGGAGATAAGAAAGCAAAAGGGACAGAGGAAAGAAATGAGTAACCTACTTTTGCAAATGGCTGGCAGAACATAGATTGGGTAAGATGGTGAAAAGACAAACTTTACTAAGAACTACAAAGGATAAGTTGTGGTGAGCCATATCACTCAAATCCTGAATGGGTATGTCACATAGAAAAAGTTTAAAATTATAGGTTTTACCTATAACATATTAATGCTCATTGTCCTCCAAATGGGTGTTAATGAGTTAAATTATGTTTGTTTATTTTTATTTATTTATTTTTTAATCTTATAGATTTAGAGAATTCCTCATTTGATTACTATTTGCTTTCTTTTAGGATGTCGTGTCACATAATCGTAAGTTGAAGAAGCACACTGAGCGTACACCTGTAATGGCCAGAGGATTAAAAGCATTGAGTAAGGAGAGCCGAGAAACATTGGATGCTTATCAACATTTGTTTTATTTGTTACAAACTCACCCATCATATCTGGCCAAGTTGATCTTTGAAATGCCTCAAAGTAAAACAACAAAGTTCATGGAATCTGTGATTTTTTCTTTGTTCAACTATGGCTCAAATGCAAGAGAAGAATTTCTCCTGCTCCGCCTATTCAAAACAGCTTTGGAAGAAGAAATTACGTAAGTAACAACTTTGCTTTTTACTGTATTTAATTTCCAGAAATTAAAAGCATTTAAAGCAGATACTCTTCATTTAAGAAATGTTTTTTTTATTCACATTTTCATGTGTTTAGTTTTTAATAACATAGTAAATTTGATTATTTACATGCAGATTGTTTGCATCTTTGTTGTTATCACAATGTTTCGGCCAATGTGCTTTCTGACCTTCATCACTTAATTTTCAATCCAGGTAACTTTCATGGCTTTTTGAACTGATCTCTTTATTTAATCAATAGAGGTAAATAGTTCTTGATTCACTGTCCACTCCAGAGATATCTTATCTAGATTTCATTGTTCACCCCAATTCCCATGATTAAACTCACAATTACTATGTCACCAAATTCACAAATCAATGCTTTAATTCATTCAGCTATTATTCTGTGGGACATTAAACCTAACTTGCCTGCTGATACTTATGCTTGGCTGCATTCACTGAGGCTTCACATTTACTACAGCTGCTGCTGTTGAGCTCTTACTGTTACTTCTCTTACTTTATTTAATAATGGTTCTCATATTTCAATGCTTGACAAAGTCCTTGTCTTCTTCACTCCACACGGGTTGATGACTACTCTTTTTCTTCCATACATAATCAGCCATTCCTGATTTCATTGTCTCACGTCTAATTATAGCTTTTTGATGTTCCTCCAGCCCTACTTTATGTGTAGAGGGAGGAGGCTAGTTTCACCTTTATATTCTTTGCCACTACATCCAAGTGATGTAGTATACGCAGTTCTTGGTCATGCTCTCTTCTATGTTAAACTTGACTCTGCAATGATTTCTCCATGGGGTGAACCTACTTCTGAATATTGTCCTGAGGCATGAACCACAGATTTTCTTCTGAATTTCTTCTAATAACCCTTAACATAAAGAAAACAGACCATGGCAGTTTTCTGGTCCTCCTCCTTGACTCTTTTGTTTCTGCTTGCAGAAGTTGATGCTATGTTTGTAGGGTAGTTGTTATTCTGAAGGTTATGTTCAATGCTGATCATTTCCTGTTGGTGTGTATCTGGGTAGCCACATGATTTTTGCAGTGTTGTAGGCATTAAACAATACCTTTCTTTACACTGTATGGATAGTCAGAATTGAAGTTGCAGTATTGTCTTGTGAAGGTTGGCTTGTGATATCCCGATGTCTTGAACCCATTCTCTGTGCAAGTTATTAGTACATCCAGGAACACTAGCTAATTAAATATTTTCTTCTTCAATTGTGTCTCATTGAGTTCACATGGTCCATCAATATTTTTACAATTCTCCACTCAGAATTGTCATCATGGTTTAAAGTGTTCTATCACTGTAAAATAACTATAAAAAATTTTGTTGCAACTTGTTTAATAAATTTAATTTTATATCTTGATCTGATTAGATATTTTAAAGCTCTCCTGTTTTTATATTACCATTCTTCTGCTTTAAATTTCTCCATCTTTTTTCTTTTTTTTTTCCCCCTTCACTCCCTTTTCTTCATCTTTCTTTTACTTTACTTCTCTTCCCTGTCACCAGTAAGCTTTCCGCTACACCATTTTACCCTCTCTAAACTTTTGTTTGCAGGCTTTCTCTTTCATTTGTTGATGTTAATAAAGCTGATGTTTAATACTATGCTTGGATGTAAAAAGATGATAAAAGACAAGTAGAGGGAAGTGAGGTACAATGTTTGAAAGAATACTACTTATGTTCTATCCCCTTGGGAAGATGTATCTCACTTTTTCATTATCATGCAGTAGATTTTGGCTTATGTTGAATTAATTTGCTAACAAAGAGTAAAAGAAATTCTAATTAAGTTGAAAGAATCTCCTAATACTTCTTATTCAAGTGTGATCAGATTTATTGATGTTGAAGTATAACAATGATATATAGATAAATGTGGGTTAATTTCTACTACTAATTTATTTTCAAGATTCACTGTTTCTTGCGAGATAGGATGTGTTCTGGGTTCTGAAAGTTTTGACAGGCCATTGAGATCCTATCCCATAAGTTAAGCAGTTTCAAATGGGCATTGATTCTATTCTCAGAAGAGTTGAGTTTGCATTGAATTTAAGGTATCAGCTTGCCACATTGATGAGCAGGCACACTTCCGGAAACAGAAGGGAATCTGACTTTCACTTGCCTGTGGTTTTGAAGATACTGACACCAGTAGTGATTAATCGCTGACCAACAATGTATGACTGAAAAGAAACACAGAACCAGATAATTTGATGGCTGAATCCCTTTTTGATCATCACATTTTATCAACTTTAGAAATATTTCTTTTTTCCTGTTTTCCTTTTGAGAACAAAAACACTTAACAAAAATATTATTTACACTCTGACTCATGTTCTCATCTTTGTAAACACTATCACATTTCAGCTATTGTGCCCTCTGACCTTTTTCAGTTGTCAATCTTTTCAGGGAATTTTTGAACTGAAATATTTAATCTACAGGAGTGGATTGCTCACATATCACTGTATATGTGTAGGGATATCTCTTTTTTTTTTTTTTTCTTACTGGCCTCCATATGGCATTTATATCTATATACTAGGCCTACTGTGAGGAGGCAGTCACAGTCTAGCATATGTGATAATTCCTTCAGCCATCTGATTCTCCAGTATTTTGTCTAGTATTTTTGCTTCATTCCATAGGAGTTGATGAGCACCCTTTTCCCTTTTGTTTTCATTGCCTCACCTCTATTTATGGCTTTGCAATGTTCTTTCAGCTTCTTACATGACATGTTTTACTTACTTATTCTTTGCCACACATACAGAGATACATATAAGCAGAGATATTGCCATAGCATTAAGCTACTCCTGAATATTGTCCTGATGTTTTGTATGGACTCTAGATCTGAATCCTTTCTGTACCCTTGAGATGAGGGATACAAACTCTGACAGTTTTCCTATAGTAACAACACAGATGAATACATTAGTTCAACTTTAAATATTAATAACACTTTGTATTGGAGATGAGGACAGAAATTAGAAAAAAAGTTTGGAATTCTTTATGATCACACTGCACTTCTTTTTATAGTGGCTTTTCTCAGACTTCAGTTTCATGTAGATAATTGATTTGTAACTTGGTCAGACCTTGCAGAAATGGAAGGGTAATGAACATTACTTCTACTTCTAAACACTGGATTAATTAAAGGCTTAAATCTCCAATTTGTTGTTGATTCTATTTCTTGAGACTCAGTTTTTTCTTCTTGGAAATACTCGGAAAAAACAAGTTGTCATAACCAGAACACATATAGGACACACATATTTAACTCATTCTCACATATTAAAAAAGACAAATCCACCAAAATGTAGATGTGGAAGCCTAATCACAATAAGACATATTCTATCGGAATGCAAAATCATAACTAGAATAAGACAGAAATATCTCAATGGAAAAGATTTAAAAGAAATATTCAAAAATACAGACACAGAAAAAATATACAGTTTTCTCAAGGAAATAAAAATCCTCAATAAAATATAAATAGTGTATATATATGTGCTTGTAGACATATATATGCATCTATGAATGTAAACAGTAAAATACACAATCGAAACAGTCACAAAAAGCAATCCCAAAAAATACAGAAAATTATGAAACCCAACAACCTTTCAACTTTTTATACAAAATAACCAACTTAAATTCATAAATTAATAAGGCTTCGGCATAAATTGACCCAAATAGGAGTTGACATGCCGTTAAATCCAACATCCATCCATCCATCAGTTTTTTCTTCATTTAAGTTTTCTTTGTTTCATGAAGCTGGTTGTTGTACTCTTACCAAATGTTATGAATTTCAATTACTCACTTTGGATTGGAGTTTCTTGTATATATTAAATGAAATTGAGTAATGTTGCAATGTACAGTGTTTGCATTTCTTTTTATTCTTTTTTAAGACTAGATAATAAAATCTCAACTGTTGATTACAATTGATATAAAAAAAAATTGCATAATGCATTTTGAGATTTTATAATGTGACTTATATCATTTGATTCCCCCCTCCTCTCTTCTCTTAATAGTTGTAATTCAACTTTCAGGTCTCTTTCATTCAATTTTAGTGAAAATAGCACTTTTCAGAATTTTAAAACATGTTCCATATTCCAATTAATAATTCTGATATTAAATCTTTTTGAGACCTGATACTTTCAGAAATATAAGTAATTGCATGACTTTAATCCATTGTAGTCAATATTTAAAAGTAGTTTCTTTTTATTGAATTGATTATTTTAACTCATTGAAATTACTTCAATAAAACTATGAATTTTTTTTTTTGAATTTTTTTATTTTGTAAGTTGACATATGAAAACTTAATTTTTAGTTATGGGTTTATTTTCTTTATGCAGAACAAATTCAAAATTATAAAAACTATTTTAAACCATAAAATAATTTTCAAGGAAAAACTTGTTTTTCTATTTCTCTTAGAAATTGTATGTTTATATATAATTGTGTGTGTGTGTGTAATTTTTAAAATGTTTTTGTAGGTTGTTTTAAATCCTACTATTTTATGTATTTTATTTATACTCAATTTTGGGGTTAATTTTTTTTCCTTATTTTGTCTATCTTAGGAGGATGTAAGTAAAATTTTCTTTTGCATGTTTTTCTTATGACCAATCTATATTCACGCACGCTATTTTTCTCTTGTCTTGCATGAATGAGTCATTGTTATTTTTTTTATTTTTTTTTACATACATCAATTACTGTTGTAAAGTACTTTGCACTGAAATATTTCATTGGTTATGGGTCATGAAATTTCACCTATTTATATATTTTATAAAAAGTTAGTCAATGTAGTTATCACGTTTTCGTTTTACACTTATCTTTGAAGATTTTGAATTGCCATATTTTATGACATATGACTCCACCACATGCACACACCTTAATAAAACTCTCCTGAATCTTATGTGCTGAAGTTTCTTGTAGGCTAATGATTATCTACTCACCACAGACTACCAATAATTGTACAAAGTATAACTTAATACTAAATGTGGATGGCAATCTCAT